AAAGAGGATATGTAGTGATTGAGATGGGCAGGTTGATGATATAAGTCAGGCAATATGACATAGGTAATTAGACTAAAGGCGAGGAAACAAGAGCGTAGGATGACTTTGATAGATCAAGATGCGAGCATAATGGTAGAGGGGCTATCTCCTATGTCCAGAAGACGAGTTCGTCTTAAGATCTCGGGATGAGGGCTTTGAGGGATGGGAGAGGATTTTTATAATTAGTCTTCGTGACATTGTCGGTTGATCAAGAGATGCAGGGCTCTCATAGCGGGACACTCAGTTATCGATATACAGGTAAGAAATTGCTTTGTGTGATCTGGAGCATCTGGGGTGTCTGGGGCGCCCACGCGTCACAAGACGAGACTTCATTTTTTGCTGATGAAACTGAGCTAAACTTAATATTTATTCTCTAAACTGGTTTAAAACCTAGAACCGTTCTTTCGTTAGGTTTCCAGTTTCATAAACTAAACGTGTTTTCATAGTCCGTTGATAGGTTTATTAGGTGCAGTTGAGCCAGTTCAAAAACCGGTCCAGGTTAGAAAAAACCTCCTCTATATGACGGGAATATGTATTATAGAACCGTTTAGTAGACTGGTTTGAACTGGTTCTTGATTGTGATGAACTGTTCAAACTGAATTAGCTAAAAGACAAACCCTGAACCGAAATATTAGCTAAACCGGTTTACCCAAACCGGTTTGTTTGGTAGGATGGGTGAACCATTGGAAACCTTAGATTAAATGCAATTTCGAAGGATAGAGAATTTGAGAAATTTGCAACTCGTTTGACTGAACAAAGGTCTGAAGAACCTTAACTTCAAGCCTCTCTGTGGTTGTTAGCCAGCATGTCTTAAAGCTAACAGAATTTAATCCAGAGGCTCTAGAAATTTGAGATAATACCAGATGCCCTATCCCAATGTATACAAGCCCCATCACAAATACCTTCCCCGATTGATTCTTTACACGCGTAATTATATATGACTTAAAGAGAGCGTCTATACTCCGACTAGTCTACGGGGGGCAATCCTTTCGAAAGCGGTCTACCGAGTGATATACCATGATCCGCTTGAACATTCTGTTACCGCGCAGAATTTTGCTGTATGGGGGATAAGGGGAAACTTGAGTGGGCTAGCTTTCTAGCAGAAGCTGGATGCAACCGAACTGGCCTCATTCGTCTTCATTGTGTAGTACAATTCGCAGAGAAAAACTGGGGTTGTATTCACCGGAATCGGACATCCATGGGAGGGATGAGAGTGAGTCTGAGCTGTGTATTGCTTTTCAGTTGGGGACGGGGGAGGGGGATAACCGATTGGTCTAGTAGGGAAGAGGATGCGTAAACGGATCTGAAACAGAACTCGGAAACACAATGGGAAGCCACACCACTATTCTTTTAAAATAGTGGGTCGGGCGCCCTCCCGCTTTTCAGCCAGACTGAGAGCGGAAAGCAGGTTTACTATGGCATACTAATACCCTGATCGTTTGTAATTCAATACTGGCCCTGGTGCACCGTCGTCTCGGACAAAACAGTATATACCTGCTAGAACCCCCGATCATGACAGGAGCGCACCAGTCTCCAACCCTCCACCGTCTGCGACTATTGTGCAGCCTGTATGCTTCAGTTAACTATAGTGCGCCCAATCATAAAGGTAGTCAAAAAATTGTGGCGAGGTCGAGGTAGAATAACTTTCCAACGAAATAAATTATGAAAAATCTGGTTGGTAAAATTGAAGTACTAGTGATGAAGAAGAATTTTACCAACCAGATTTTTGATATCTCTCCTGGTTAAAAAGTTATTCAAGCTTGAAATTCGGTATTTTAGTATGTAAATTGCGCCAAGCAATCACAAAGTGGAACAGGCTTGGCAGTAGGGTAACTGCAACCTCACCACACCTCAACTACACCTTTACGCACCCAAAGCTGGTAGGCAACAATACCACCAGTTTTCAAGAGTTAAATTCGTAATTTTGGTAGGTTATCCAGCTAGATACTGTGAAAAGGACTTGTCTTAATCTCGAAAACTCGTAGAGTTATGGTGCATAGAGTAAGGGGACAATAATGTTGCATCCCTATCATTCCCAGCCCCATAGCAACCACCCCCACCAAATAATTTTGAGCACAACAACCACAAAAGATATTATTCTCCTCTTCGGGAACATAGTAAATGAGATGTAGCGTATCAATATAGAACCCTGAAAATAATTTTAAATTAAGTAGATAATGATTTATAGCCTTTTTAACAATGAAAATGCAAATCCTATCCCTATTTGTGCATGTAAAAATTCATTTTAACTTTTCTATATACTTTTAAGCTAATCGACTATTACCTCCCAGAACTACGAAATTAACTCTTGAAAGCTGGTTGTGTTGTTGCCTACCAGCTTTGGGTGCGTAAAGGTGTAGTTGAGGTGTGGTGAGGTTGCAGTTACCCTACTACCAAGCCTGTTCCACCAACCAAACCTGACTTGTCACCTTTTGTCACCTTTATGCGTGGGCGCACCATACCTTCGGCAAACACTCTAGTCATCACTCGATACGCAACCTATCTCTCACACATGAAAAACACCCCCGGACCGCATGTGCAGCCTCTCAGCTTCCAAATAGAGTTCCAAGTTGGATCTGCCCTTTTCTCCTGACCCGGAAGCGGTCGTATATACGTCTAGGGTGGAATGAGTAGATGGTGACGCCAAAGAGGTCGCCGGAGTATTTAAAAGGTCCGTAATAAGAGGGTCAACGGTGATACCGGGTGTTCCGGTAAAGCCAGTTCTTCTGCCACGGCGTAAAAGCGTACCTCGCCGCGGCGGTTCCTCCCACCCTGGCCGACCCTCCCCAACACGACCCAGAACATACTCGTACCCGCTCTCGATATGTGTCTGTACTAGCTCGTTCCGCCCAATAGCCACCTATGCGCTTCGTCGCCTGTGTGATACTGTCCTTTCGCTTAGTGATGCGCTACGCGCCACCACGGTGTGTTCCATACTACTCGCGCGCCGCTAGAAGAAACCCTAACCCTACCCCGACCACGACAGAGCGAAGGTGCTTTACTTTCAGATGCAAATAAGACCAGTTTTACAGTCGGTCGGCTAGTGCTATTATGTAAGAGTCGGGGGGATAGAACTGCAATTTAAGGACCAGAGGAAGAGTGATGGAGCTGCTACAATTCCCCAAGCGGAAGAGGATAGCACGAAGTGAGGGTCTACTACATACTTAGTACTAGCGCGTCTTCGCCAAGAATACTTCGTCTGACCTGCCTCTCCTACGAAATGCTCCATAAAAAGCCAGAAAAGGAACTACGGGAAGCATTCCTGGCGACAAAGGACATACGAAATAACAAAGCTAAACATGACCAGCACTGACTCAGGTCTTAAGATCTTGCGTTTAATTAGGGTTTGATTGACGGGACCCATAGTATAGAGGGACTTACATACATTTTAAACTGGTATGAGGAGTCTCCTCTCATGACAATGTGAAAAACGTGGGATCAAAGTGGAGCAATTGATATGATGGTTGGTTGCACTGGAATTGGCGTGGCCGGTATTAATATTACGCGAGCAGCAAAATTGGAAAATTAAGGCTGTGTAGTATGGCTCCGGGAGGACTATGCCTGGTGCTCCGGAGTGAGCGGGGAGGAGGAAGAGCATTTTATTTTGACGACGGAACCTTAGCCCTCACGCCAAGATATATAGATATAGTCTTGGCCCATGTCCCACGTCCCATGGCTCCGTTGGGATGACTAGGTTTAAGAGTTCCGGAGTAAAACCATATCACCGTGTCTTCTATCTCAACCCATACTGCGGTAGTAGTCAATACGAACCTCTGAAACGCGGTTGAAAACCAACGAAACTATGGCAACCCAAATTATGTGGGGTTGGTTGATCCGAGCAAAACTAGTAGGATATCGTAAAAGGTTGGTGTGCGCCAGGAGCTTTATAGCTACATTAATTTTATATACTGGGTCCAGGCCTAAACGATACCAGTCACCTCGCACCGCGGTGCAGGTCAATCATTTCCCCTTTGAAAGTAACCACCCCAACCAGATGAGTTCCTCCGCCACAACCACATAATTGGTAAGGCTGTGCTTTCCGAACACGGCGTTGAACATATAGCTCTAGAAAATCTATCTCAGCAAATGGTTTCTAATCGCTTTATTTGATGACTAATATATCGCTTTGAATCTTTTTAGGGTAATTCTCTCTCTGCTGAGAGTATCAAAAAAATATTTTCTCATTCTCTATATACACAGTTTCTTCTTGTCTACCACATTCCTATAATTGACTTGCCATCTTGAAAGCTATTGGTGTTATCAAGGAATCGATATCGCTAAGGTTATCGGCTGCCGTTACGAGACCGTGCCAAGTCTGTTCCACCACCATGCGCACCCTACATACTCGTTGTGGCGGCGCGTGGCGGTGGCGAAGCCACATAGTAGCATAACCAGGGCCGAAAGGAAAAGTAGCTAGTGAACGAAACTTAGTCAATCGTGGGACACTTGGACTAGACCATCATCCCTCATAGAATACTATCGGTTTCCTCTCTTGTTCATCATCGGTTTAGATTTGCGATCGATTGGGATGAGACTCTAGAGAACTACGAGAAACAGCTTGCACCGTTCGCATAAATCTAAAGATAGCTTGGACGGGTAAAAGGGGTTAAACTCGCCACCTCCCTCTTCCGATTATCACTATCCTTCTCTGGTAACTGTTGCTAATTCTTGATTGGCTCTGTGGATATTACAACCCGCAAAGAGCAAGGAAATGCCCTTACTAAGTGGTACATACCCGGTTCAGGCCGCGACTTTAACCACCTTCATGCATGGTGGTGTTGACTCAGCCCAACCAGGTGGAGAGCAAGCGGGGTAGGCATCTATTGCAACAGCTGGCTACATATATCCCGTATCCCTTACCTACCCTTCTAATAAATCCCTTTCCCTCAAAATCAGCAGGTCGTCCTCCGCCTGTATACACATAGCTACCTTTGTGAAAACGCACTCAGCTAATATCGATAATGGCTACGCGCTATCCATCCCACCTCGATCGACACCCTGTCAACGCTGCGAATGAGGGCTATTTATCGTCGCCATCGGTTGACCGGCGCCGCCCATCCTCGTTTAAACCCCCAGACGTCCTTGAAACTATTCACTCGAAAGCACTCGAGATTATCCCAAAACCGCCGAAAGCTGGCTCTAGCCCTATCTTTCGAATAACCGGTATTCCTTTGAGCGTTACTCAGGAGGAGTTAATGGATATCCTCATGGACGAGTTCGACACCGAGAATGGCATCCTACCCAATGCAAGCAGGCTTGGGAGCTGCTCGTCATGTTACGGTGATCGAACGCAAACCGCACTGCTTGAGTTCACTCCCAGAGCACCTTCTATACTACTCGACTACCTTAAAGATAAATCAAATAAGGGATATATGATCTCTCACCCTAGCGGCGAAGACATCACTATTGATCAGGATTTCTATGGGCTGACACAGCTATATCCCACTAGTGGGCCAATTAAAGCCGAGTAGGTTTGTAGATTGCAGATAATCGTGTCTAGCTGACAACATGTGGGTGTATGTAGTATCGTCGCAGTGTGTGGTCTGGATGGACACGCATACGGTTCCTGGTCTGGGAAAGAAGATAACCGCGGAATCAAGCGAATGTGGCTAAGGGATTTCCTACGTGACGATCTTCCTTCCTGCAGGACAATGATATATGGCTACGATTCTCGGCTCAAGGGGGCCTACGGACTACGCGAGGTACCAAATTACACGGATATGTTCCTAGAGGAACTCAAGAAAGCTCGACGAACGCGCGAGGTAGGTTTTTGGAATAGTGCCTAGCAATCGACGCGTGTGAGAATGGAGCTGAGAAAACCTAGGAGAAAAATCGACCGATTGTGTTCATTGGCCATAGTTTTGGGGGAATACTTATCGCTGAGGTACAGTCATGCGTTGCATCCATTAGGAAGAATGTCAAGTCAATTTTAGTTCTAAGCATTTGATGATAGGCGGTCGTTAAAGCGAAGGTGAACGTCGATAAATATGAGTCATTATTTGAGAATACCAAAGCCACCATATTCTATGCAACACCACATCGAGAACTGGTCGTGGATGATATCATAAGCATGACCGGGGATGATTCTGCACGGGAAGATCTAGTGAAATCTTTAAGACATAGATCGGAGGGAGACCTACACAAGTTCAAAGATTGCACATCACCTTATGGACTGAAAATCATAAGTTATAAGGAAATCGAACCGACTCAGAAGTTAATCAAGGTGAGAAAATAAGAGTTTACCCGCCCACCATACGAGGGGAGAGGTAACAGGATGCTGACGCGGATTATAATACTTAGGATGAGAATGGTGAATGGGCCAGGAAAGGTGGCTTCTTTAACGAAGTAGCGGAAGAATCCGCTGTCCTTCACCTTCCCGCCTCCATTGAAGACAGGCTAGCAGTTGATGGGGACCATTCCACACTGGTAAAATTTCAATACAAGGCTCAACTATCGTACACCAGCGTTCTCAGGCAGGTTGAAGGATGTACGAACGATACTGGTATGCGCAGATTCCGTCCCGAACCTTACCCCACTTATTCTAAATTCCTGGCCTTGCTCTAATATATACCTTGTCAGGGGTGAGTCGATATGTTACTGCAGAGAGCGCCATAAAGAATGGAACTTATCACGATCTAGCGCGTGTTCTCGAAAGTGGAACTATGGATGTTAACGTCCCTTTGAAACACTTGCAAAATTCCCCGACACTACTTCATATTGCCACTTCCACAAACGATGTTAGAAAAGTAGACCTGCTTCTCGAAAAAGGGGCAAACATCGAAGCTCGCGATTGTGATGGTTCTACCGCACTTCACGAAGCAATCGCATCCAAGAACATCAAGATAGTTGAGTTGCTACTACAGAGCGGCGCTCCAAATCCCTCCCAAGAATACTGTCCAAACCATGACCCGAGGTATCATTTGCCACTGCTTCATTTTGCGTGTGCGGAGGGTAATTGCGAGATTGTGGAAATTTTTTTGAAGAGTGGGGACGCAAGTCTGGAAGTTTGTGCGGGATATCAGAGCTATCATCCTGTGCACTTTGCAGCGATGAACAAGGACGCCTCGGTACTAGAGATGTTGATTGTGAAAAAGAAGGTGTCTACGGAGGTAGAGGATCGTGAAGGAAGGACACCGCTTCATTTGGCGACCGCAAGTGGATTAGAGAGGAACATCAGATCACTCCTCCTCCATGGTGCTAATATCGAAGCTACGGATCAGTCTGACTCTTCTCCATTACAGGTCGCGATCGAGAGTGGGAATGAAGTAGTGATGGATGTCCTCCTGGACAATCACGCAGATATCACAGATGGGCGCGGCTATGATAAGAATACGGCCCTACATCTTGCGTGTATGGGATTGAATGAGAAACTAGTAAAGAGGCTTCTTGACCGTAAGGCAGAGATCGAAGTAAGGAATTCATCTGGCATGACTCCATTGCTATATGCCGCCAAACGTGGCTCAAAATCGATCATTGAACTACTAGTACGCAACAAAGCAGACGTAACTGCGGTAGATTATAACGGTCGAACTCTCTTACACATGGCGGCGGAAAACATGAACGAAGACTTGGTAGAATTGATTCTGAGCTATGGGGCTGATATCGAGGCCCTAGACCATAATAACTACACTCCACTACTCGCCGTGGCGCAATATCGTAATGGACCAGCGGCTGGAAGCCTTTTGAGAAATGGAGCTTCTACCGACCGAAAAGACTTCGAAGGGAACACAACACCACTGCATTATGCTATTACGGGGGGCTCTTATGAGATTGTCAAGCACCTTCTCGACCACAAAGCCAATGTTCAAGCAAGAGATGAAATGCAGGAAACGCCACTGCACATTGCGGTAAGTTATGGGAACGAAAAAATAGTTAAATTACTTCTGGAACACAAGGCGGATAAAAAGGCTAGAAACCTTCATCTAGCGCAGCCGATAGACGCGGCACGGAAACTAAGGAATATAGCCTGCATCAAGCTACTCGAAGAAGGGTCATAGACGTGATGGGCGAGGATGATGACAATGTTCATTTGATTGATTTCGAGGAGGTCAATATATTATTCCTTTCTACCATTATAGATTGATATCTAGCAACTTTCTGTTAAGAGTGATGATGTCTTATTTCTTACCGGTCGTCTTAATTCGGTCCCTCACTACAATTCGTGTGTTGTAAATGGTTACATAATTCATCTGGTTGAGAAGGATAAACGGGGGTCAAGAATGGATATATCAATTCGTCACTATTCAATACCTTCTTGTAATGCTGCGGCGTGCATTGAAGTTTGGACATTCTGATTAGCTGACGTGACCTTGTTTTATAATTGGACATTCTGTAAATATTATTGGAGATTGCCGGAACGTTGTAGGGAACATGTTCTACCGCCTTTCCTCCATACCGTTCCATGGAGAGAAGATATAAGGAGCACCTAATGTGCACAAGAGTGGCTACAGCATTAATACAAACATCAAGAGGAGAGGGCTCTGAACCCCGAGAGGTTTGTCGGCGGGGACCTTGTTAAGAGAAGAGCCAACGGGTTGTTTGCGACATACAAGCCGAGGCCATACAGGCCGGCAGTTTCCAATAGTTGTAACCGGTTTTCATATCAGACAAAACCGAACTGAACTGAAATAAAAAGAGTCACAACTGAACCGACCGAATAAGAACCGGTTTATACTGCAGAACTGTTTCGAGGCCTTGGCACTCTAGCAGCAACTTTACACGAAAAGGGTTCAGGGTTAGGGTCTGTTCCAGTCGTGGAGGGAACACGGGCGAGAAGGGAATGTTCCCAATGAGCCCGGGCAGGATGGGAACAAGCCAAGAAAGTTCGGATATATCGTATGTTCCCTTGTGGACTTGGGCGAGAGGGAGCAACACCAACGGTATCTCCAGAGTCTAGGTATCTCAAACAATATTGCCGTCCCCGCCGTCCCCGCCATCTCCCACAGTCATATGCAGTCATATGCAGTCATTTACAGGGCATAGCCCCGGCGGGCATGACGGCCGTCGTCGGTCCTCTACCTTCGGGCATGGTTGGTACCAGGCTAGCTCTCAGGATAGACGACATTTATGGTCCATTTCGGTCCGAGGTAGAAAACGGACAGACTGCCCCGTTGCAAACACTGCCATTCTGATTCAATAATACTATGTACATAAATCAAAGTTACCTTAACCCTCCCAACGCATTACTAACTGTTCATTGCCCGCTTCCTCACAAGCTGTCTCTCAGAGACTAGTTTCCCGTAATTTTTAGCGATAGGATCCAATAAAATATCTCTGGCATCTTCATACCCAATTTCCATATCCTCCACAGTGAACATCTGCAACAGTGATGGGGTAACGGCCTCGATGAGAATATGTGGACCCTCCTGGTTTCTTTCTTCAATCTGAATCATTCTTCTACATAGGTGTGTGCCATGTGAATGAGTGAAGTCCTCCAGTATTAATGGCGCAACGAAGGCATGAGCCTCACCGTAATATCCACTCCGTGAAATTCTTACTTGTCTTTGAATATCTCGAAGCCCCATTCTATGTCTGTTTCCTACCTCCCGTGATTGTGTGAAGACAGTATACGAAGGTAGAGTATTGTACCTTCTCATCAAGTCATTGATAAAATCACCATGACGCTCTATACGAGAGATCAAGGCACCCTCTTCACAAGCTTCACATATGGTAGATAAAGTTGGTAGATTCAGCTCTCTTGCTATTACAATTAAACTGGCTTCCTCGTCCAATATCTCCTCACATACTCTATCACCCAAACTCTGACGGGATTGAGCTACTCGATTCCCCCTTCCCAGTACATTCTCTTCACGTACTACAATTGAGTCCAAAATCGAGTGGGAGGTAGAATCGGAATCTGTGGTATCAAAGTCACTATTTTCAGACTCGAAGTCTTCAGCCAGTGGATAAAGATTGCTACAGTCATGTAGGAGTGAGTCATCAGGCCGAGGGTGGCAGAGATTGGTACAGGTGGTACTGTTCATATAACAGAGACAATTTCTGCCCTCACACCTGCCGGTACAATTGCAAGTTATCTGAGAGGAATTACACATTAGAACGACATTATATGGGGTGGTAAATGTGTCAAACGTAATTTTATCAACGGTAGTAAATTATTTTACCACCGGTGGTGAAAATAATACTAGTATTTATACCCTATAATGCTAATTTTTATGATAAAAGCACAAAACTTTTGGCCAAAAGGGGCCATATAATGCCAATATATATGAAAATTGTCCAGCGGTGGGGAATCTCACTACCAGTGGCAATATTTCACCAGCGGTGGGAAATTTTCATAAGTTTTGACATTAATGATTGAACATTTACTTATTTACTATAACGCAGGATAAAGACCGAAACTCAGTGTTTATACCGGTAGAAATGTACAAATGTAAGATAGCTTGCAGATATAATGATGCTTATACCACCGGTGGTAAATAATTTACTACCGTTGGTAAAATTACTTTTGAAACAGTTACCGCCCCATAGACATTATGAGTATCAACTGGATAGTTATTGTATATTTTTTTATCTTCTCTTCCACAGATTATACATGCAGCTGTTCGTAAGGCCATTAGCTTTTTCAAAAAACCGGATAGTAGCTGGAACCTGATTATATCAGGAGTGGATTGAGATCCTTTAGTTGGAAAGATACTTTCAGATATCCAACTTCGCAACGTAACTTGTATCCAGTGTCAGAATCATTCTTCATAACAATGCGCCAAATGATTCTGCATTGATCTGATGTTCTTCTGTCCCATTTTGGTTTCCGCAATGAAACTAAATGCAATGGGTAGAATTGAAATACTGGCATCTGAAACTTATTTTGACTTGTGATTCTTTGTTGGACAATCTCAAAGTTTGCTCTGATTTATTAGTGCAAAGAATTGTGTGTTTCCTCATCAGGAACAATGTCAGTGAATGAGGATAGGTAAGTGCTTAGAAACTCAATAGGTATTAAGCTATCGTCCTGGATATCTGAAGTTTCTATTGATCATGATATTTTAGTAATAATTGAGGCCATAGCAGTACCGTCAGACTCAGGTTCAGATACAGTTGGCTCATACCTGCTTGCTCTTGAAAATTAAAATCCAGGAGTTGAGGATCTATCAGTATCATATGTTGTTCCCTGTCAGTGCTTACAGGGGAGCAAATAGATTCTGTGAGGGAAAAAGTATTGGAGTTATTATCCTCCATCTGTTTATCTTCTACAGTAATAGAATATCTTTCCTTGCGTGAGGATATTCATTGCTGACATTTTCTATCTGTAGACGATCTCATATAGTGCAGTTCATCGATATTATAAACTCCCGTAGCTCCATGCTCCAGCTACTACTCTGGTAGTCAATCATCCAGCTAGATAACTTGTTCTTTAACAGGCCATTAGCCTGTTCAATAAGACATTGACTCTGCAGATAGCATGCTTTCCATTAATCATCTATAGTATTATCATGTGTTAGAGTAGATACAATACGAGTACATAGAGAATTTACAAACCTTCATACCATACACTCTCAGTAAAACAAGTATGGCCTCTTTGAACTCAGTACCGTTATCATACTGTAAATTATGGTATGTCTCAAGTATGAAATCCATAACTTAACTACGGAATCAATAGTTTCACTCAGCTTATCAGGTAATGGATAAGCTGCTGAATACTTGCTAAAGTGATCTCTCATATGACAAATCCATTTAAACTCGGTGGGAATATTTGGTCTTGATTGCATATTAATAAGATCGACCTGTACCCTTTCCTACAGGCAGTTCACCACTGTAGGTTGAAGTGGAGCATGAGATATTTGTGATCTATGAGTTGCGTAGGTTGAGGAATGCTCCAAACTCCACAAAATATCATCACGCATAATACCATGGTATTCAGTTAATAACAATGCAAGAGTTTTGTCCCGGCCAGCGTAACTAAGATTCAGATATGCTTAGAATACTAGGCTAAAAACCTATTTAAGAGTAAGTACCAAAACATGTTTTACTACAGGTGGACCGAGTCTCATACATTCTTATAACTAACAATTTTTCTCCAAGGACTTCCCGTTTTACAAGTTTTGAACATGAGTATCTCACCTTCAAGCTTATATTGGTGTTTTATTTCAAAGTTCACATAAAACTCCTTGTCATCAATTTGTTTACGAAAACCGTTGAGAAATTCTATAATCAAAACGGTTGTATTCTGAGAAATTTGCTGAGCGGTATGGTTCATAGAGTCAAGCTATCAGTTGTTCTAAACAATGTAAGCAGCTTGAGAGAATAGATTGACAAATTAGCTGGACATGGTAAGCTGTATGCAACGTTGGGTGAGTAGTTGAAGAGAAAAGAATATTAAAGCAAAAACCTACATGCTCACTATCTTCTTATATACCTGGATACTCCCGGATGAGAGAGGAAATGTTCGAGTGAGAGAGGAACAACTTGGGTGAGGGGGGAATAAGCCCGGTGAGAAATGAACTTTTCAGGTCTGGTGGGAATGCACCGGGTGAGCGGTAAATGCATCGAGTGAGAGGGGAAAACTTCGGTTGAATACAGCAGTTTTAGATCGTGCACACTTAATACCGGCTAAGTCTACAGCTACTAGTATGAGTCCATAGCTATTGAGGTGAATGCATGAGCTAGTATCGCTACTGAAATGAGGTCACAGCCACTGGAACGATATAAAAGCTCCTGGAGTGAGTACTGCTTTTGGTACAGCTATTTGGGTGATGTCACACAGTAACCTGACTTAAAGGAGAGTGGAGGTCAAAGGTCAGATTATGTAAAAGGTTACGGAAGCGGGCGGGTTAAGGCAACCAAGTAGCACAATCGAAGTTGTAGGTTACGAAAATAAAGGCTGAGTCCTGGACTTGAGCAGAGACGAGGACTACAGTAGCATTCCCCTTTTTGTGATATACCATGTGATATGAGTTCAGATTCAGTACAAGAACGAGGACTCGGATAAGAAAATTGGGTTTGATACCGATGGGACTAGAATTTATGCGAAGAGAATATATTCAAAGTAATAAACAAGGGATAACAATGAGCAAACTGAGCTTGAGGTAAGGCTTGAGCCAAAGCTCGAGTCTTAGAGAAAACAGCTCAAGCCGGCTCAGACTCGCTGGAGCGAGAGCGTCATTGTTATCGAGGTGGAAGTTCGAACCTAAAGCTCGAGCTGGGCTGGCTCATGGACCAAACTATATATATCTCATACTACCCAATGAGCCATTGAGAACTGAAATTCCGGTCCTGGAAGTAATATACAAGCTAGATAATTGATAAAATGCTAGTAAAATTTGGATTTTTAAGCCTTAATTCATAAACAAGACAGATTCATTACAACGGCTTAAGCTATTTGATGATAATTATCTAGATTCAATATATATACAAAAAATAAGGCTTATATATTCATTGTTTTTGACAAATTGTTACACAAAATAAAGCTTTAGACTAATTAACACTTATACCACCGTTTTTGATCAAAACAAGATTATTTAAGCCTTAATTGGGAGCAAATCCTCACTAGAGGCTTATATTTTACCCCCCTCAGACGGTAATGTATATACATGATACATCCATATATCTCTTTGTAAATCATAATGTTCAGTAGATTCTATCTGGTATTTAACGCTAATATTTTGGTGTCGATTTATCGCCCCCATATATAGGATCGGAAACTCTATATGTGTTTTTGGGGTCTGCTCAATTCTGAGGTCAAATTGTACCTGGTTTCATTCAGCTAGCGAGAAGGGCAATTTCATACACTTTTGCTATCTATGCTTCATATACAGTTAATAAAGTAATCAATCAATTAATCAATCAATATTATGCTGAATTACTAAACGCACATTCATCACATAACCTATTTCGCGCCATCACTCCGGAAACGACTGTACTGTTACATATTGCACGCGCGCCAACATCCTGCCTGGGGAGAGTCGGTGGGCATAATTATTACCCCACACACACAATGTGGGTCCCAATTAAGACGGCCATCCCCTACTCCTAACACATATCAAAACACTGACCTCTCCTCCGACAAAACTGCATCATATCACTTTGAACGGCGTTTATTATGAAAGATAATTCAAATTGATAACATACAAAGTTACCTCAATCCCCGACGTGATATCTCTTTCTCGTAACCACAATCCATCTTAATCAAGCCTGTTCAGCACTCACTCCACCGCTGCAGAATCTTGACCCTTTTTCATGTTTGGGCTGGGAGTGACTCAGGCCGACACCATCGGTACAGGGGATACAAGCCTTTCGCCCTCAGAGCACACTCACACACTCCCTCAGAGACTGGATAGATATACCCTGCTTTCCCCTCGGCCTTAACCACGGCCTTATCTTCCAGTGCGTCTGCAGTCCCCGATTGATTTGCCGTGTAGAAATGGTCATAGTAGGGAGTGTCCCAATAGTATCGCTTAAATTCCACAAAGGCCCCCCCCCGCTCCTAGGGGAGTACCACGCATGATTACCTTGACACACGATATCAGCTCTGTTGCAACAGGCAGCCGGAATCCGACCAGAGAGGTTCCGGGGTGGGAAAAATGAGAGAGGCAGTAGGATGGGAACAAATACTTTCACGAACATAACCACTGTTCTGGTTACCCACAGCATCCGCCTCGTCCTTGCTCTCAGTGTAAAAGTGGTCTACTATCCCGCTGTTGAAGAAACGATAGATGGGGATTCTGTCAACACCCGGGGTAAGGTAGACACAGCCAGCAATGCCTTCAAACATGTACGTCTTAGGAGCCAATTCGCCTGTGGGGTCCGTCGTGTAGAAGTGGTCGACATTCTTCTTATCTTCGTCGGTGGTGGAAGACATAGCACGTTTTGGTGTTGAAATATGGTTCTTTTAGGCTGTGGGACCTGTATCAATAATCTGGAACATTTGTGCAAGTATGGCAAGGGTAGGCTGAGGTTACCTGGTACTATTTCGTATGGGCGGATGGTGAGAATTCTAGGTAGTGCTGGAGGTTGCTGTCTATCAGATTCCTTCAGTGTGCGAGTTTGATGGGTCTTTATACAAGCTCTCACCTCCGGGACATCGATATAATTATCCAAGTGCCTGCCACACACAGTTCTTCCCCGTCACATTCGTTAGAAATCTCCCTGATTCTCCTTCTTTCGGTAAACATACCAAACACATGCCAGAACCCCTTACAACTTAATGGTGGTTTAAGATAAGGCAATAGATGAGGCGGGCGGGGCGAGATGACTTCTTTGGGCTTCGTACGTTGCACTTGACGGCACGTCTAAGTATGTGGATATGATTTTCCTGGATTCCACACCCTGAAATAACTTAGGACCGATACCAGGTTTTAAAAAAAAATCTGCTCGTATTGATGATGGTAGTAGGAGAAGAGTACCCAACTACTATTAACACCGATCGAAAGGTTTATAGCACAGATATTATTCCTGGCAAAAATAATCCTGCCACGCTTGAGTCAAAAATTCGAAACATCTCCGCTACGATGACTATATTCGCAGACCAGAGCACTTACAATGCTCCCAAGGATATGTGTTTTACTTGTCGTTGATACATGAGGTGTTTTGTCCTAAGTAAGGTAATTCATAAACAGAGTGCTCCCACCTTCTATCAGCTCACACCCAAGCACTCGCTAACCTTAGCCACAGCCCTGCCTCGCCCGCCTCCTGTGTGACCAATTACATTCGATCGTTCCAGACTTTGACGCAAGAAAGGGCAGTTAATTATGTATGAGCATCCGAAGCCAGCATCCAACCGAAGACACCGTGGGGGACAAAATTTACTTACTGGCTGTTGATATTAATATGTGCATTCTATCGCAATATTCATATGATTGTGCTATTGCAACCTCTGCTGCATATAGTTTATCAAAGTAGCGTATACTATGGCCAGTACTCTAGCTGCGGAGGCTGCGCATGATGATGCACCTCTTACCCACACAATTAATGCACCTCTACCCATACTCGGAAGGAAATGCTCCACGTTCGCCGACAACAAAGGCCTCCATGAGATGGAAACGGCCAGTTAGAGGACCACCTAATATAGGGGTGGTTGCACATCGCTTGGGAAGGGATGGGGGGGGCGTCGGGCAGGTGTGTAAACTTTGGCCTTATGTAAAGAAAAAACCAATAAGTGTACAGAAAATAGAAGATCTTCTACCAAAATGGTATTCAAACCTTGGTTAACGGTTGTATCTTCTACTGCTTTCGTACAAAAATGTCTGCCGAAGTTATTACACCCACCCCCGAAACCAGAGGCTCTACAATATCGGAAATTAAGAAACCGATCCGGATTGCCAACTTACCTTGATATGTCTCAATCTTGTTTGTTTGACGGGTGTGTCAAATAGTTTTACAAACGAGCTCCTGCGGGGATACGAATTTTCAAGTCGACATACCTACCCATCGATCTCAATCCAGCCATGATTGCAGCTAGGACATATGCAGGCCTTCGAATATATTACATGTAGGTGACTACTTCCGGGGTATGTGTCGGTATCACAGTTAGTTTCAAGTACCGGGCATATTCCTAAGGTCACGGAGGTCGGGAGCTCACATATGTGTCAACGGGACAACCCGTGGCTCGATGCGCGCTCTGGCTGTGGCTCTAGGCCCGCAGTGTTTAAGATCGTATTTTGCTGCCAGAATTCTATTTCTGACACTGCCGCTTATCCGTATGTTAATATCATCTCGCTATATGACAAGTCAAACAACAGCTCCAGATCTAAAGAAACCGGCGAAACTATCATCTAAATGAGGACTAACTGCAGTGCGCAGTGCGCACTGGGATTTACCTTCTCCGCGCGACCGGCGAAGGGGCATGAGCTTTTCGAGTAAGTGTTTTACGTATATGTGTTTACACCGTTAGATGAAGATAATGGCCAGATGTTCACTTGGAGCACGCCCCCGGTATATGTCAACACCACCAACACTCTAGTTAAAACTGAATTACATGGCACTCGTAAACTGAAGGCCAGCCATTCTCAACTGCACTCACACTGCTCCCGGGGGCACGTTTCCAGCAACACCTGTGGACCATATGTGTATGTTCAGTTGCTCCCATACATACCCACCACCAACAACCCAAAGAGCAAGATTCCATTCCCCACTCCACCCACTGTGCAGAGCTAGCTGCAGTTGATTAAAACTTGTTCAGCGATCGTTGATGCGCCATGTCTCGCCTGTCGCGCTCGGGCCGTGCGGGATGAGTGCGGCTCTGCTGCAGGATGACGTATTACTCCCTACAGCTCGGCCTTCCCGCTCCAATGTGCTTCTCCACAGCCGAGATCAAGGAAATAGGCATGTACGCCGGTCAGACCCCGTTTGGTTCTTAATTGCTTATTACATATGCACGCCAGTACGATTGCGGATCGGTCGGGAGCGGGAGCAGGAGGTTATGCGCGCTCCTCCCAGATTGGGCACGCCGCAGGCGCCTGCAGGCTGCGCATCAAATGCGCAAATAAAAATGTGGAGACCGCCGTGTCCGGCAGCTGACCAGTCAGTAGGCACAGTTATGTAAATACCGTATCCCTTGGACTGTTGAGACATGCAGATTCACGACCTTCCGAAACGGGCGGGGTCGTTCCGCTTAGGAAGCGGCGAGTGATAATACATGAAGGAAGGGGACATCTCGAAGCATTTCAAAAGATGGGACAACGCCACCAATTCCTTTCCGATTGAGTCGAAATTAAAGGTTTCGACTCATCAAGTATAGCAGAGTCCACGCATATAGGTATTATAAACCCGCCAGTATTACTAGTGGCGCTTCAAGGACCATAGGGACCCGGATTTGCAACTTTTCAAAGAAAATGCAAAAGTTGAGATAACTCAACGAATATCTGTTGGATTAAGATGATATTAAAATATAAGATTCTTTGAGTATAGTACACCTTAACTTCTAGACAATCCAGACCCGCCAGCATTATCACTGATGAGCTCCAGATTCCAGGGATCGGTACCGGTGATTTTTCAGGAAAATGACAAAAGATTGAATAACTCCACTAATATCTATCAGATTGAGTTGAAGTTAAAAGTCTAGACTCTTTAGTTACTATAGATGTTATCTTTATAAACAATTCTAACACGCCACTATTATCAGCTATGCGCGATAGCGTAGCAGTACCCGGACCCGCTACCTTTCAGAGAAAATACAAAAAATGAAATAACTCAACCAAAAACCACTCCGATGACATGAAATTAAAAGTACTAACTGTTGAGGCAAGGAGAGATAGAATCTAATGCATCAATTGATTCATTTACATTGCTCGTAGAGACGGCAACCGCAACCTGTGTCATTTTACACCTTTTCAGCTAATTATTATCTTAAATGGTGCGCCCACGCATAAAGGTGACAAAAGGTGACAAGTCAGGTTTGGTTGGTGGAACAGGCTTGGCAGTAGGGTAACTGCAACGTCACCACACCTCAACTACACCTTTACGCACCCAAAGCTGGTAGGCAACAACACAACCAGTTTTCAAGAGTTAAATTCATAATTCTGGAAGGTAATAGTCGATTAGCTTAAAAGTATATAGAAAAGTTAAAATGAATTTTTACATGCACAAATAGGGATAGGATTTGCATTTTTATTGTGAAAAAGGCTATAAATCATTATCTACTTAATTTAAAATTATTTTCAGGGTTCTATATTGTTAAGCTACATCTTATTTACTATGCTCCCAAAGAGGAGAATAATATCTTGTGTGGTTGTTGTGCTCAAAATTATTTAGTGGGGGCGGTTGCTATGAGGCTGGAAATGATAGGGATGCAACATTATTGTCCCCTTACTCTATGCACCAAAACTCTACTAGTTTTCGAGATTAAGACAAGTCCTTTTCACAGTATCTAGCTGGATAACCTCCCAAAATTACGAATTTAACTCTTGAAAACTGGTTGTGTTGTTGCCTTCCAGCTTTGGGTGCGTAAAGCTGTGGTGAGGTTGCAGTTACCCTACTGCCAAGCCTGTTCCACTTTGTGATTGCTTGGCGCATTTTACATACTAAAATACCGAATTTCAAGCTTGAATAACCTTTTAACCAGGAGAGATATCAAAAATCCAGTTGGTAAAATTCTTCTTCATCACTAGTACTTCAATTTTACCAACCAGATTTTTCATAATTTATTTCGTTGGAAAGTTATTCTACCTCGACCTCGCCCCAATTTTTTGACTACCTTTATGATTGGGCGCACCATACCTAGGCATTGATGACTGTAAAGTGATATCTAGCAGTAACGAAGTTCGTTCTTAACGGCAGTTTATCACTGCATTGGGATTATTTATCATTTCTGGAGTGAATTTTTATCAGTTAGAGAGAATTCATCACAGTCCTCGTGGTCTGGGTTTGGTCTCATATAAAGAAGGAAACCCGGATAACCTATCTCGAGTGCTAAGTAGCTTATGTGAATGTGAGGTTTACTTGCATATTCAGAGCAATACTTTCTCAAGCTATCTATCCCACTACAATGGACAAACAGGCTGCATTACATGGATACCCCCCCGGGGGCCTCTCACAGCAAATTACAGCTAATTTACCTTTACTCCATTGCCCCGTCGGGCTTCCAAAAGACTTGAGACCCTTCGAAATGAATTTAACGATTCTCTGTTGCGAATTACGTTTCCGAGGAAAGGCCTCACTTCCCTCATAAAATATCTGAGTACATTCTCTGTCCACGCATTTCTCATGAACCCCAGAGATCCCTCTCTAATATCCTGCGTCATATCCCCTGCCGCGATATAGTGTTCAAACAGCCACAAATCGAATACTACACTTTGCCTTCCCCGACTCCCCAACCAACCTTGGCCACGGCACACCTCACGCAACAAGGCAATGAGGCCGCCATCGGGGTGGATGCTGTGCGAAAGTCTATCCAGCTCAGAGACTCGCATGAAAAAGGTTGAGTCGGATCGTTTTGTTGTTACTTCCGCCCCGAAATAACGCCCTACCGCAGCCAAAGTTTGTTTGTGCCTCTCATTGCCGGGGCCTTGTAGATATGTAGTGCCGAGTCCGTTATGTAAAGCTGGAACTGCACTATACGAGGATTCGCCAATCATCAACGGTTGCTTATTCCCTAGAATAGCTGGGTTAGGCCTAGAACACAGGTGAAGGATGTTGATTTTAAACTTACGGGGTTGAGGTTGAGATAGAGGTGGATCAGCCACTACCGCGTTCCCTGACAGTTCGGTAGAATGCGGGGAGGGATCCATAACAAACACCGACTCATAACCGTCCCCCCTCTGCTGCTGTGGGTCATTATTAAACTGAAGATTAGGATATAGTGTGCCGTCTCCGTCGCCATCCGAGTGTAACTGCCCATTCAAGTCTTCGTTCCACTCCGGCCCTCGTTCAACCTCGGGCCCAAGAGCTCGATCCAGCTGCCTGATCGATGCTTGGCGCATAGACCTGATACTCGCACAATACAGGTCAAGAATCGACTCCGCCCGATACGAATACGAGCCCGAACCACTAGTTGATCTCGTCAAGAAGGTCTTCATGCTCCGAAGCGACCCCGAGATTGTGCCTGACCTCTCATCACTCGTCGCACTGTGCTGCACGTTTTGCTGGCGGGGAGTTCGCTGCGAAGAGGACCGGCTGATAGCGGAGTGCTGGGATTGGCGGCGGTTATCCTGCGAGCGGGCTCTGCTGCAACACCTCGATCGAATGGCAGTGCAGCTTGACCGTAGACACTGGTTTACATGCGTACAATACGACAGGTTCGCCCTGAGCTCGGAGATGCTGGCTTGTAACGTACTGAACTCCACCGAGTTTGCCAACGCGCTCGAACACGTTGTGGCACTGTTCCCACCGTCAGCAGTGTTGTCGGTCAGGTACCCGTGGATATACCCGTCCTACAAATTCGCCGCTGATATGGTCATGACAATCGTCGCCTTATATGCCGCAATATCGTCTCTCAACTCACGAACATCGCCCTCGCGAAAGCTCCAGCGGAACTGCCTCCACACCTGCTGCAGCGCCCCCGCCTCCGGCCTCGCCGTATAGCTGCCAACTTCCTTCTGCACCGCAACAAAGTCAGCCATGATGTTTTCCAGCAGCTCCGAGAGGATGTCGACGGGGAAGAGCGGGTTGCGGAGCACATCGGGGAGCTTAAACACCGTCTCGAGGTTGCTGAGTGCCGTGCAGAGGGTTTTGAGCTCTTTGCTGAGGGCTTGGATGCTGGCTGGCGCGGAGCGCGCCTTGCTGATGGTGGTGGTGAGGCCAGTGACGAGGGAGGTACCGATGGCGATCAGGCCGCCGATGGAGGCGAGGACGGAGAGGGGGTCGCCCATGGTAGGGGGGTTGGCGGATGGAGTCGCGGTGTAGTGTGCGTGTTTATGTATGGCATTGTATCGTTGTAGCGGTAGTAGGCGCTGTGGCTAGTTGGTGTGGCTCGAGTTGAGGCGAGGACACGCGACGAGAAGACAAAGATAGTTAGTTAAGTAACGGTGGCAACTAGGAGAGTATAAGGAAGCGGAGGAGGACTTCGAGTTAGGATCATCATTAGTTCTAATAAGACTTACATCTATTATTCTGCGTACTTCACGCGGGACTGAGACTCGGGCGGGGGCGCGGCTGAAGTGGCGGTCGTCGATACTGGACAGGAGACCAAGCCACAGCAAAACTATCAGCCGCAAAGCATTCACTTTCGGCTCCATGGAAGCGCGGTGTCCTCATGGTCTCGAAGGGCTACGGGATAACGGAATACTTAACCACTTGAACCATGACTGGTGCAAATCCGAGTAAAATCTTAACTAACTTTTGATTTGTAATGTTAAGCGATTATGTTTGCGCCCCAAAGCTAACGTCTCGAGGTTTTACCACACACTATGTATACTGATACAATTTGGCAAACAGAATTCGATACATAAAATTAACCGTAGAGCAAAGCGATAATTGACGAGGGATTCGCTCAAAATAACCCTTCCTAGTAATCCAGGCCGGCTACTACCTCTCGCACTAGCTACTAAAATAGAAGTTTTCTTTCTGTCTGCCGGTTTACGTTTTGTGATTTGTGAGTGCGTTACGAAGAGGGGAGGCAGTAACTGCAGGTCCTACATGTACTTCTACTCTAGCCTGAGTACATAATGTATATATATCACCTCCCCGCACGCGCGTTAGGGCGAGGAAAGTAGCTTCCAAGACAGGTGCACAAAATATCACTCGTCGCCTTAAGTTACTTGGCGCCAAGATATCGCTTATCATCAGGATTTGTACATACATATGCCAAGCAAACATATCAGACCTAGATTAACATGATATGTCGCATGATAGCTACATACCTTACCGTCGAAACGGGTAAAATTATAAGCCTTATTTTGAGCTCTAAGACGCAGAAAAGCTTTAAATAAGGCATATATCTCAAAAAAGCAAAAAATAAGCGTGTTTTGGGCAAACGCATGATATTTGCTTAATCTTACCACCAAATAAGGCTCTTTTAAGACCTTTACCAGTATTAGGATTACCAAATAAATAAGCATTATGGAAATTCGTCAGGTTTAGCTGGGTTAGGGTTGGGCACTTAGCAAATATTAAACCGTGTTCTTCCATCTGTTCTTTAATACGTACCCTCGGCCCCTCTACCTCTCTATCACCTCCGTCCCCTCTACTCTTCTAGAATGACCCCCCCCCCCCCCAATCTCCTAATCATCAAAAACATAGGCTAATCAGCGAATCCAGTAGCAGCAGCAGCACCGAACCAAGCACTAAATCCAGCACCAAATAGAGCACCAAATAGAGCACCAAATCGAGCATCAAATAGAGCAGCAAATCGAGCACCAAATCGAGCATCAAATAGAGCACCTAATCAAGCACCTAATCGAGCGAACTAGGTCAATAGGCAGGTAGGCTGGTAGGCAGGTAGGCAGGTAGGCAGGTAGGCAGGTAGGCAGGTAGGCAGGTAGGCAGGTAGGGAGGTGTGTAGGCGGGGAGGTGTGGAGGCGGGGAGATAAATAGATTGTCTTAAATCAATGTACATATTAAATTCAGTATTAATAAAAACTTCATTTCCGAAATTCTCTATGGCGAATAAGTGTAAAAGTATACCTATCAGGCTATCATGCTGATCTGACGAATAAACATTATTCAGCCTTATTTTTCAAAAATACCTTAAATAAGACTGATCAAAATCAATAAGCATTAAAATATTTTAATATTAGCGAAACCATAGTCTAACAAGGAATTTAAAAAGAAATAAGAGTTAACCGTCAAAAAAGGCAAATATCATGCTTATTTAAGCCTAAAATAAGACTTAAAAAAAATACCCGTTTCAACGGTAAGGCATGCAGAAGGCTACTATTTAATTGTGATTGTTCAACCCCGCACAAACGTCTAGTTTTTCGCTCCCACGCGGAACGGCGGAACGCTTGTTTCAATAAACACAACCTAACATCAAAAGAAATGACTCCGAATAGGTCAAACAGAGACACACTTCGCTCGACCCTGAGAAATCCTTTTAGCCGCCGTTCAAGTCGTGCTAGCAGTGTGGCATCAAGCACTGGCACGGATGACGGGCTTCCGGCGAATACTGTGGCGCGAGAAGGGCAACAACGACCACAAACTCGCTCACAAAGTCGAGCTTTATCCACTCAACCTGTAACCGCCGGAATGAGAGCGATCTCCGTTTCCAATACCCGTGTAGCTTCCCCTCATCCTGGGGGTGGAGGATCGGGCTCCACATCTGCTCCCATCATTCCTGCCATTTTCGTTCAGGCAGCGGGAGGCATGAGCCTGGGATCTTCATCCAATATTCCCGCTCAAAATCCGGTGGGATTGGCGCTTCCCACCGGCAGTTATAGTCGATCTTTATGGGAGGAAGCGTTCGCAACACTATCGGCAGATGATCAGAGCCTCCTAAGCTCTCATCAAGACGACTTCAACACTGTTTTACAGCTGGTACTGAGAGATACAAGAGCGCAGAAGATTATATACGAGCGTAATCATTGGTCACTGACTTGGAGAGGGAAACAATTTCGTATGGGTGATATAACGGACAGAATTATCTCCTGGATTGAGAGATTTGTCAAAGTTGGGGATACCATAGTTCAGCATGATCCAGATCACGCTGGGCTCCCCTGGGCTGCTGTTCACTTCATTCTACAGGTGATATTACTCTTACTTACTACATCAAATTATTGTCGACTAAATAGTCCTTATGCTACACTAAATTACCGGCAACCGGTGGTGCCGCTCTGATTGGGGTGGAACGAGCTACAAATCTGATTCTCAAAGGCCGTATCTTGGAGGAATTCTATATCAATAAGAGTGTCATGACTGATATTAAACAAACCCTAGGAATGGAGTTAGTCGAGACTTACGCCAACATTCTCAAGTTCCTTGCGAAGGCGAAGAAGCATCTGCAGCAGGGCAGTGCCGGTAGTGTCCGAATACCCCTTTTGAAAAACGTACCGACTACAGCTTTAGGGAAGTTTTTATCAGCAGTTTTCAATACTGGGGAGTTAGCTGGATTACTTACTTCGATCGATAATGTCGGATCAAGATTGTCACAAATAGCCGCGTTGGTTGAAAGTTCCCGTATGACCCCTGACTATAAAGTGTATTTCTTGCTTACTAATTTTCGTCATTAATACATAGTATCGGCAGAGGACCGAGGACGATGGGAAGGTTGTAACTCTCATAAGTTATGCGTGCCCGGCAACATGCTAATATCTCCTATCGTTCAGGAGTATCACAGGCTGGGCAGAACAACATGGAGATCCTTCGAAATCTCCTGCTTGGACTAGGCGATTCAACTGACCGTATTGGCTCAAAGATAGATGCAATGTACACACGGATAGAAGGTATACCAATCTTAACCGTTCCTTTGCAAATAGGACGGCTCTGAAACTAATATCTTTCTCGATCAATAGGGGAAGAAGGGAATAAGATTTTGAGGTGGCTTTCGACCGTTGAATATCATTCCCACTATATTGATATTCAGTATCGAATCCTAGAGAACTCTGGAGAATGGTTATTTAATCGCTCTGAGTTCCAGGAGTGGCACATCTCTCATAGATCTAGCATTCTCTGGTTACATGGAATACGTACGCTTGCTCTAAACATTTGTGAAGAATGTTGTAGCTGATAGTTGGCGCAGCTGGGGCAGGGAAAACGAAATTAACGTGAGTACGATCTCACAGTGCCTATTTAGTCATGAGGGCTAAAACAGCCACAGATCCACTCCTTGATTGCCACAAGGCATCGCCGGATGTTACAGGTCTAATAGCCTTTTTCTACTGTAATCGGAGCGAGGAAAGCCGCCGCAGTCCACTGGTAGTATTGGCCTCACTCTTAAAGCAACTCGTAGCATATCGTGATGAGGTCCCAAACTGCGTTCTCTCAATTTACAACGAGAGGCGAAAGCAAGGATCGGAACGGCCTGTCGATGTCATAGAGTGTCAGAGGCTTATCGCCGACCTTACAAGTCTTGTACCTCAGATAACTTTGATAGTTGACGCTTTAGACGAGACTGCAACCGCTATGCGCGAGGAACTTCTAGAATCTTTCAAGGCGATTGCTACTAATTCTCAGAATCCTGCAAAGATATTTATATCTAGCAGAGAGGATAGAGATATTATAGAAGGGATGCATGATGTTCCGCATGTATCCTTAAGCGCGAGAGACAATACTACGGATATCAGAAGGTTCATTGAGCGGGAATTAGAACACAATATCAACAAGAATCTGCTACTCGGCGGGAGAGTGTCCGCCGAGCTACGGCAACAGATAGGGGAGACACTAGCAATCAAAGCAGACGGGATGTAGGTCCACTGATTTGTTTCCTAACTCGGCGCGAGCATTACTGAGAATAGCTACAACAGGTTTCAGTGGGTCAATCTTCAAATACAATATCTTTGCGAGTTTAAGATTCGTCAAGATCTGATCAAGAGCCTGGGCGCTTTGCCAGAAACGTTGCATGAGACATATGAAAACCTGTACAACACAATCCAGCAGCTCAAAGGCTCCACACCAGCGCTCATAGAAAAGGCCCTAATGTGGCTTCTGTGTTCTCAAAACCCTCTGAAACCTCAGGACTGGGAAATTGCTGTTCAGTGGACGGCTGAAATGGATTCCTTGGATGGCCTATCTATTGGCGACCTGCTGCATATCTGTCGATACCTGGTACAGGTGGATACAGATTCCAGTTACGTGCGATTTACCCACTTATCCGTGAGAGAGTTTCTTGAGACAAGGTTCTCGGAAGGGGACGCCCACTATACTGTGGCAGAGGTTTGCACAGCACGCTTTCTACGGGAGCCCGATCTTGCTACAGCGTGCATATTATCTGGACCTTACCAGACGGAATCGCGGGACAGCTTAATGTCATCCCATCGCTCTAACGCCTCACTCTCTTCCCCCACACATCATCATGGACAGTATAACTCTGGGGTATACAAGTACACTCTTGAAAATTGGATACTACATATCGCGCTGGCAGTCTACGTGCATGGTGTTACAAAAAGCTTTGTTCATGTATCTGCATTTCTGAGGCACATGTCTAAGCCTGAGTCTTAGGGGTATGTAAACGACTATAGGGATTGTAAATTCCTCAATCCTCCAAACTTTTTGCCGCATATCCCGCTGTATATTGTAGCATATCTCGGTATAGACCCCTCTAAAATGGGCATTTGGCCACCCCTTAATTTCGACCACCACAAAGAAAGCACACATCTATTGTTATGTGCGGCTGTCGAGTGGGGTAACGAAGCCATGACAAGATTAATCTTGGGACATGGAGCGGTGGATATGTCTCTCAACAATTATCTTTGGGGTTCCTTGACCCTTGCGATCCTAAAGGGGCATGTTAAAGTGGCTCAGATTGTATACAGTAATTGTTTGTTAGAGACATCATTCCCTGCTGGTTATGCTCACAGAATTTTCTCTGAAGGAGAGTTTGATTTGAAAGAAACCTTTCAACGATCATTCAAGGTAGATGTGAGTGAGGACCTTCTGGTTGCTGCATTAAACCGACCTCAGACGGCGGATATCCTCCGTTTCTTTTGGAGGCCCGGGGATATGGCCAATATTCAAGAAGCAGTGTTAATAGCCACGGTGAAGAAAAAGATCCCCAGCTTGGGCATCATCAATCTGATTTGTGACTTTGGCAACTTCAAATTAACCGAGTCCTTGTTTGCGGCTGCCATAACCTATGACTTGCCAATCCACAAAGAGATAATCTTGAAATTTCTGTCACTTTCTGGACCGCTAAGCCATTTGAGGAGTTATTTGATATAGCTGCCGGGCGTGGACTTGAATGGATATTTGATCAGCTCTGCGGCAGAGGAGCATCATTCGTGGGTGACGACTACGCCCGTGCTCGTCTAATGCTGGCAGCAAAAGACGGGTGCAGTGAGCAGATTTTACAAAAATGCTTTCTTCTCTGCGGTCCCTTTACAAAGTTTGATGATCATGGCTGGAAAGTCATTTCGCGTGAAGGCGACTTGGAAATCGACCTTGGGTGTGCGAGAATGCCGTCGCATTGGGTCAGACGATCCAGTGCTTCTTGCAGAGTAGATGGATGCAGAATTGATTGCGATTGTAAGTAGAGTTCAACAAATATGTTACCACGTTTAAAGCTGACTTTTAGGGAGTCCGTATATGGACTCCTCCTATCACAGCAAATCACCCGTTACCCTATCCCAATGATCAGAAGACATATTATTATTTCGAACTTGAAATTCTGGATTATACGTATGAAAAGTCTTCGCTTGTATCACATCCATTGGGCACCAGTTGTTGTCCGATAGATTGTTCCTCGTCACCTTTACTCGTTGGATTTCGGCGGGAGTATGGTTTCTCAATTTCTACCCGCGATTACGACATATGGCGTATGTTAGTAGTTTAGGTTCTGGTTCTGTCGTGGGAGTTTGGTCGAACTTTCAGTCATTTATTGGCATTTCACTTGATGGGCGTGATGTAACCCATCCTCGAGATTACGGATTCGGCTACGGCGAAACGGAGTTCATTGATGGGATTGGGACCAACTACTCGCAGATGGCACATCCTAAGCCATCGAGACCTATGAGGGTTTTCCCAGCAGTGATATTTATACCTAGTTCAGCTATTTCAATCAGTGCGAATTTCATAGGGCCATTTCGGTATCAAATCCCCAATAGCGCCCAGAAGTAGATTAAAGTTAGTGTCGATTAAAAAAACTCTGGAACGTAATATTCCGAATTTCTACTAGACTACATGACCCCATTCCTTATACTCCTCGAGTAAATGTACCGGTAGAGCTTGTTATTAACAATGAGTGAATGAGTTGATGCTCTAGTCCATACGGGAAGGTGTAGATTTAAGGAATATTCCCATAACCTATGGTACAGGTTTTTTAGTGTGTGGGGGGTAAAGGATCCGTGCCGGAGGGATAATTGGTGCAAAAAACATCCAAAATCAACGTATTTTCTGAAAGTGTGTTGATTTATCTCACTATGCTGATATATTCCAGAGTTACCCGATATATCCCAGAGTTGTCCTCCAATTCAGAGTTTCCAACGGGACGGCCTGTGACTGGGGAAGTACGGCCCGGCCCAGAAAGGAAATCAGGGACCCTGTCCCGGCCCAGGAGCATCTGCTTGGACTGGACCTAGGACTACTTATGGGACTGAAATAGGTTTAGAGCTCGTTCGGTTACACCCAAATTTAAATATCGTGATGTTTGGCCTAACAGTGAGAGGGGCTTAACATATCTGGTACCTGGTGTTCCTTTTTGGTGAAGCATCAAGGTTTTTGGAGATAAACGGCGGCCCCAATATGTTGTCCTTTTTTTCCACAGAGAACACATGCTTTTTCGCGAAAATGAGTTCCCTGGGACCAGTCCTAGGACTGGCACATTCCAGCTCGGCCAAATCCCAGGGAGAAAATGCTAGCCCAGTCCCGGCCCAGGAAGCCTAGTCGCGGGAGAGCCCAGAAGTACCTAATCCCATTAGAAACTCTACTCCAAGTTATTTAATTAGCTTAGAGGAGTAATAACCTATTTGTTCGGATTTTAAGGTTGTCCAAAAAGCGATAGAATAATCGAGGGTAGTAAAAATAAGATATCTACGTACCTCCCCAAAACAATGGCTACCTACTATAAAAGATGATCACCTCCTATAAGAGGTAACTACTCTCATAGCTTATTTTGTGAGATCGAGAAATATTAATTCCCAAAAGTAAATGATAGTATAAGCGATTACACTTTGAGTAATCACTCAAGATGCTCGAGGTTCAAACCCCCACAACTTTATTCTTTTAATAATTATGCTCATATCTTATGATACTTTATCAATTCACGCTGTTTACTTACCGCCTCTTCAGGGCAATTCTTTCTCAAGCTATCCTGATAAAACAGATAAACATGGCACGCCTCACGGATATCCCCCTCACCTTCAAAGTTGACGGCTATTACAGGTAAATCATTATTTGAAAATTGTACACTAGGGGTGTGTCAAGCGGGGGCGGAATGCTCAACCTCTAAACAGACTGGGTAACTGTTTATCTCCGCTTCTGCCTTAATTTAGTAACATGAATGCAAAGATGGTTGGGTTAGGGTCAGCATATGCTCGGCAACATTCCGAAGGTTCGATCAAACCATGACACCAGTCTGTGCCATATAGCCCTACGGTATAATCTTTCTTGCGCAAAATGCCTAATTCATTTGATTCGGGAGTGTAGTAATTGGCCTAGTTACTTGTTTGCTCTTTTGCGGTAATTTATTGGAAATATAAGATGTAGGGGTTAGTCTTTTGCTCTTTAGTGGTAGTTTAACGGAATTATAAGATGTAGAAGTTGTTCTTTCCCTATTGGAGGGTAAATAAGGTTCAGCCTGCTCTTTTGGGACGGCGAACTTTCTTCGAGTGGGAAGGGTAAACTACTCTTTCCCTGCCCATACCCTATATGATATACTGATCAACACATACCTAATATCTTCCCCATGTCCTAAATGGTACAGTTTCTATTGTATATCCACAATGATGCAGGCTCAACCCCCGGTTATTCTTGCTATATGTTTTTTTAATAGAGTGCTTGGATGATACACTACCTTGATCAGGTAGTTCATCCAATCAGATCTGCTATTGTTTCGGATTTGATCCTTAAATGCTACTAAAAGGACACTGTAGGCGGATATCCTCGTTCCGCCATATAACAGGTAGTTTACCATTTCGAAATTGTACTAGGGATGGTACTCAGTCATGAATTAAAAGGTCAGAAATTTTAGTAAGCATTTGGTTGCAACGATATCCGACCATTTAATTAAGGCGCGAGTAGATGCAAGCTAAATACCGACCACCTCTGCCTGCAATAACTACCCCTTCCCCCGCCCCCCGGATCCTTCCCTCACCACCACCCCTCTCTCCCGAAAACGACAAAACCTTACTCCTTCTTTACCTCTAACCTACAAACCACACACGTAAACTTCGGCCCCCAAACCGCACACGAACACCCCGGCCTATCCACCTGCCCCCCATTCACCCCTTGCACTATATCCACAACAACCAGCTTGCCCGTTCTTCCTCCTCGCACGATAAGCGGTGTTCCTCCGCCTCCTCCTCCCATTGCCCCGCCAGGCCCGTAGTGCGACACGATAACGGGCCGACCTTTCACCCTGTGGTGGGAGGCGACGGTGTATGGCGTGCCGGAGACGATGATGGGTGTGCTGATGTTGGAGGGGGTGGTTGGCGTGGGCGTGGGTGTGGGCATTGTGGCGGTCATGGGTGGGGTGGGTTTGGGCGGTGTTGAGATGACGTTATGGTGTTTCTGGAGGGGCTTGTTCACAAGAGAGACGAGAGATTGGGGAAGAGACGGAGGAGATGGAAGGAGTCGATGTGGGGAGGTGCGGAGGTGGAGTTTGCGGGGGCGGATGCCTGACTACTTAATTGTCGCTACCGCCAGGACAGTTGTCAACCGCAGCAGCACGGACCTTTTCTATAACCTGCCTCAAGAGCGGGTGAGGCGGTTTAGCAGGCATCTGGGGAGGATCACTATTCGTTATCACAAGTCACACTACTCTACACCCATGCAGTGGATCGGCTAGGTAGCGTACTGTCGCCCTGTTCGCATTGTATGATTTGTTACACTTCAGGCACCCACCATTACTTGTGAGTTCTGTATGGTTGCAACGGCTACCGGTCGCTACGGGGATGCATATCGTATAACCGTTTTGGTGAAGAATTGCATCGATGTCATGCAGACTTGGTTGTGTTGAGAACCGCCATCAACCTGAACGACTGGATTGGCTGGCTGAATGGCATTGATCTCCGCCGGAAACATCTTCGGGAGGTTTGGGAGGTAACTTTGGCCTTGGACCTTTGGATGCCTAATTCGAGGCGCCGCTCGGATAAATAAATAGCTCTCGGATAGCTCCAATTGGCTATCAGATCGCCCGCCTCAGATTCTGGACAGAGAAAGCGTCGGCGGAATACCTCTCCGCAAAACGGCAATTGACGATTCGCCATAAATGGGGTGTCAATGCGGTAGCTGTATAAGATGCCCACTTCACCCCTCTCCTCTCTCATCTTGAACCTCTCCCCATCCCTGCAAATCCACCACAACTTCAGCAACCGCATCACCGGCACTCCCACACGCGACCAAAACCCACAACATGTCCCTTTACTACGTCTACGTGCGCTTCCACCCCACCATCCCCACCTACCCACCCCCCACGCTCCGCTACCTCCTCACCTGCGCCTCTCGCGACCACGCCAACGCCTTTTCCCGCCACTTCCAGCAGCGCCTGCGCTTCTCCCGCGTCTCCGCCCAGTTCTGGGGATACGACCCCGTCGACCCCGCCGCCTTCGGCATGCTCGAGACGCTCGGGGACTCCTCGCTCCCAGACGACATCCGCCGCGGCGTGATGATCTCTCGGCTACCCGAGCCCGACGTCACAACGGGGTGGGTCCAGGCCCCTGTCCAGGCTGGCCGCGACTGGATCAGTGGCCGCACATACTTCATCCGGAATGTGCGACAGCCGGACGTGTACTGGTACCATGCCGGGTGCGGGGATGAGCGCATCCTAGCGTCGCGGTGGCAGAAGACAAAGTTCTTTGTGAGGATGTCCGATGCGGAGGAAGGGGAGACGGGGACGGTGTTGATAAAGAGTGATAGGATACGGGTGACGACGGCGTCGGGGGAGGGGAAGGGGATGGTGGTGAGGAGGGGGGATGAGGGGCGGGTAGTGGTGGTGAAGCCGTCGGCGAAGGAGGTTGCGACCGCGGTGGGCGACTTTACGTTTGGCGAGTTGGGGGGTGCGTTTGGGACGGAGTGGGAGTGTGCGGATGGGGAGGGGTCGGGGGTGGGTGTGCCGTGTGAGTGCGTGACGTGGGGGGATAGGGCCGAGATGCATTTGGACGATTGGGAGCTGTGTTAGAAGGCTCTACCAGACTCTTATCTGCCTCTCTTACAAGAATAAAGTCGCTTTATAATTTACTGGATCTGGATTGTGTCGGAAGGAGGAGGAATTTATTGATGTGACTCCGATTATCGTGAGTCGGAGGATTCAAGTGGTTACAATTATTGCAGAGTAGATAGAACTCGGTAGGTATAGCACTTGGTCGATATAGAGAGCAATACCCGTCAATGCTCGCCCATATGTCCCCACGAAGACCCCCGCATTGCCAACATGCCATGGCCGGGTGATATCTGAAGACGGCGGTTCTCCAGCTGGGTTGGAAGTGCTGAACATTCCCCCCAATTTATCAGGCCCCCCCCCACGGAAAGAGAACGCAGTGTAGATTTCCCGTGAAAGCCACAATCTAACAAGTGTAATATGTTTCCATGACAAGCAAAACAACACACCCGAATTACCCCCTGCGGTGCTAAGGCGGACGGCAGTTTGAGAACGCGAACAAACCCCCCGCCACCTAACAGCCAGTCCCAGCTTTGCTCCAAGTGCCTTTTTCCAACTACTCACCCAACTCTGACATCTGACAGATAACGTGAATATAAACTTTCTCGGGCGGGCACTAAGTCACGCTAGCTCGGTAATTTCCCCGCATGAGACTTGGCGCTCTTGGCGCTGAAGCCAGGTTCGCCTAACGGAATTTGACGAACAGTCATGGCGTAGATATGGCGCAGTTACCTAGGCGCATAGTAATGCTAATGAGTCCCGAAAGGCTTTAACAATGAATCTCCTGGTGTTGATGTCTTTTGACTGACAGTCGTTAACGGAGGAGCGCAAGCGGGAACAGGCTGTCTCGTGCCAAGCCTCTTCTCATTGGCCATTGATTAGATTGTAACCATGGCAACGCATGCTCGTCCGATCACTCGGAGAAAAGCTCCTTCGAAAAGTATAACTGTAGAAAGAAATCTCCTATCTGGTCCGAATTCAGTCTGAAATATATCCAAGAAATATAGAATTGATGATAAAACCTGTTGTTGAATTGCTGTGAAATTAAGCAAACTGGAACACTTGTATCTATAATCAGTTCACATCACTCCGGAGGCCTTTGAACATTAATGATAATTCGACGCAACTCTCCGGGTTCGAGCAATAGCTTTATCACTTCTTGGGACTTGGAGTTGATTCCCTTCTTTAAAGCCAATAGTGCTCTATAGATCCTTTCCTCCAAACTGCATATTCGCAGATTTGGTTATCAGGTATCTTTTTCCATCGCATACGGGTTTTTTTTTTGTTACTAATGTACTATATCCATTCACCAACTGTCTCCAAGCACCATTTGACGATGATAAAATGCTGAAATCTAGTCCTTAGAATCCACGAATTTACAGGGTTAGGGTTAGGGTTCCATCCCTCGCTCTCCATAGACAAACGGGCGCGGGTGAAGTGCATCTCTTCCTCTGCTTCTGACGCACCGGACTTAATAGGCAGAAAGGTTTGGCAGGGGCTGTTTGTTCAAATATATTGGAATACTCTAACCCAGTCTTTCATCCCATGTTTGCTTCCAAGTCTGCTTCCCAAGTTTACTTCCCAAGTTTGCTTACCATGCCCTGGAATCTTCTAGCAACATCTGTTGAGATGGTTTCGTGATGAAAGACTTGATTGATTGATGAAAGTACAGTGGTTTGTGAGACGAGAAGGAAAAGAAGAAGAAAGGAAAATGACAGTGGGTACGGTCACAGAGAGCCCCCCTTTGATACTTCCTCCACTGGACGCTAATGACCATCACTCCAACAACATCAAGGCATTCTAGAAGTTTCTCTTCACCACCTTAGCCCTAGTTTTCGCCGCCTTGGCACGTCTTAGCCCTAAGACCTAGCTATTTTCGCCGCCTTTGGGGCCAAAGCCCTAATTCTAATGGAATTGTATTTCGGGGGTATATATACCGATCTTTCCTCCCTCTCCCTCTTATATTATTACAGATACAAAGCTGGGAGGCGTTCCTCTGCACCCGGCTCCTTTGCTCGACTGGCACCTGTTCTACTGGTAGGCTTTCCTGAGCTGCTTCTTGCTCGACCGGCACCAGGCCGCTGGTAGGCTTTTCTAGAACTACTAATATGTATTTTGCTCGACCAGTACCAGTTCGCTGGTAGACTTCCCTTCTATATTCCTTCTGTTCGACCGGCACCAGTCCGCTAGTAGGCTTTCTTACAAATTTCCTAATTTCCTGTCTGCTCGACTGGCACCAGTTCGCTAGGAGGCTTTCCTAGATCTACTCCTCCTATACTCCTTTCTTGCTCGCCCATACTCAGTCCACTGATGGTAGGCTTTCTTATCAAATTCTTAATTTCCTTTTTGCTCGACCGGCACCAGTTCGCTGGCAGACTCTCCCCTTATATTCCTAAGTTTCCACTTTCTCGACCGGGACCAGCTCGCTGGTAGGCTTTCTTAAATCCAGTAATATTCTATTTGCTCGACCTGTACTAGTTTGCTGGTAGACTTTCCTTACCTCTCTTTTCCTCCACCATAACCAGTTCTCTGGTAGGCATTCCTACTAAATTCGTAAATTCCTTTTTTTCTCGACCGGAACCAGTGCGCTGGTAGTCTTTCTTAATCTTCTTTCTATTCCACCATCACCGCTCCTCTCGCAAGCTTTTCTATTAAATTCCTAATTTCCTTTTACTTCGACCGGAGCCAGTTCGCTGGCAGGCTTCCCTTATCTCTCTTTTTTATTTGCTCGACCGGCACCCAGCCCTGGGTAGGCTTTCCTATCCTCCCATCTACTCGACCGGAACCGGTTCTACTGGTAGGCCTTCTAAACCAATTCTCGCTCGACCAGTACCAGTACGATGATAGGCTGTCCTATTAAACTCTTAGCTTCCTGTTTCCTTTTGCTCAATTGACCAGCACTAGTTTGCTGGTAGGCTTTTATTATTCCCCTTTTTTATTTTCTCGTCCCGAACCAGTCCACTGAGAAGCTTTCCTAACTTTCTTTTCATTGACCAATACTAGCTCGCTGGTATTTAGGCTTTCCTTATCTTCCTTGTTTATGTCCTCGTCCGGAACCAATCCTGTTGGTAGCCTTTCCTTTGAATTCCTAACTTCCTTTTTCCTTTTCTGCTCGACCAGCACTAGTTTGCTGATAGACATTTATTATCTTATTTTTCTATTTGCTCGACCGGAATCAGTCGGCTGGGAAGCTTCCCTAACTTTCTTCTCATTGACCAAGCCTAGCTCGCTACTGCTTAAGCTTTCCTTAAATTCCTAATCACTCTTACCCTCGACCGGAACCAGTTCGCTGGTAGGCTTTCATGCTAATATTCATTACCTCGGCCAGGAACAGTTCCCTGGTAGGCTCTCTTAATTCTACAAATATTTCTTTCATTCGACCGGAACCAATTCTATTGGTAGGCTTTCCTAATAAATCTATAATTCCATCTCTGCTCGACCGGTGACAGTCGGCTGGCACGTTCTTTTTATCACATTTGTAACCTTACATTTTCCTTTTGCTCGACCAGAACAGGTTAGCTGGTATGCCTTCCGATTAAATTCAAAGCCTCCTATTCTCTCGACCAGTAAGAGTCCACTGGTAAGCTTTCCTACTGATTTTTCTTTGACTTCTGCTCGCCCAGCACCTACCCTCTGGCAGGCTGTCCTATTACATTCTCACTTAAGTCCTAAATGCCCTTTCCTTCTCTTCTTTCTCGACCGGCACCCAGTCCTGGGTAGGCTTTATTCTTACTCTTCTTCATTTCCTCGACCCGTACCTGTACCCGAACCTACATCATATGATATCACTCGCTCGATAGGTGATAGATAAGTAATGTCTTTGTCCTGTTTAGTTCAGGGTGGGGGGTGGCGACGGCAGGTTGTTTCGTGTACATAACGAAATAGAGACTAGGATAATTAGAACTGAATAAATTTAATTACTGACTACAAATAGCTCTTCTAGATAGCCACACTCCCTAAACTCTGCGTACTGAAACATTCCAACGCCCCCCACGAACCATAATCCCAACCTTGTTTTTCTGTTTCATGAGCAATATTATCGCCACAACACACGCGGTGAGCTTGATATAGACCGAGTGATCGGTGAATTTCCTACATACATATACTAACCAGAGGCTTGGCATCCACGACGAAGGGTTAGGGTTTCTCTAGCCTATGATTGGGATAATGATATTCTTGGACTTGCAAGTAAGAGTTTGAGGACTGAGGTTCGTTCAGTAGAGGATTAATTGATTCTAGGACGAGGTACATGAGAAACATAAACTTTGAACAAAATTCTAAACGATCGGGAAAGTATTTCCAGCTCACTCTCAGTGCACCGTATCGCACAGTGTGTTAACAAACCTTCGTCCACCACCACTCCCGAGCACACCCCCACACTACAAACGAAACCACACCCATAGCTCCGAGCACTAACAAAGCTCCCAATCATCACCCCCCAGCGCCCCCCTCTGCACCCACGTCACAACCTCCACATCCGACTTCTCATCCGCCCACCCCGTCCCAAACCCTCCCAGCAAATCCCCAAACGTAAACTCCATCCCCGCTCCCCCCGCCCCCGCCCCCGCCACCCCACAGATATACAGCGGCCCCTGCCCCGCCGCCTCCTCAGTCCTCACCCAAAACCTCGTCTTCCGCCTCCGCGACGCCACAACCTCCCGCCCCGCCCCCGGAAGATACCAGTACACCTCCGGCTGCCTTATATTCCGCACATAGTACGCCTGCCCACTGACCCACTCCCTCCCCGCCAGCGGCGCCGCGACCGGGAGTGTGGAGATATATATTTTGAATGTAGTACAGGAGTCTAGTCATCATTACTACCTCATCGCACATCCTTTTCATAAAGAATACAAAATATATACGTATACACTCTCCCAAAGTCGTTGGACAGATCCTCTCAAGCAATACAAAGGGCCGGCGGTGACAGACACATCGCCCCTGTCCTCAAATCGCCCATCTGTGTCAAGAAACTAACCAGATTTTGCTCCTGCATCAGGTCAAAGTCCCTTTCCTGACCCCGAACCCCTAGGCAGCTTCTGACAAATCTCACATATCTACTACCCATTGACCGATAAACTCTATCTATGACTTTCTCTATCGCTTCCTGCGACCGATGTACCGCCTCCTCAGAGTCGCCTCCACAGAGGTCTCCGAGCTGAAGAAGGAGATGCCCTAGCCTGTACACATCCCGGTTCCGATCGCTGACGTCACTTCCCCCGGGACGCAGTACTAGGTGTGGTGTCCACCGCCCGATTGCCGCCTCTTTGCTCGCCTGCGCTGTGAAATAGTAGATAGTGCCGATACCCCAGTCTCGCACCCATGGCGAGCAATACAGGTGCAGGAGTGACTGGGCCAAGGTTATCGCGATTAGGAAGCGATCGTGCCCAGTCAACTCACGAAAGCGCGTGATGATCAGCTGTTGAAGTGAGACATAGCCGCCACAACCGCTGGCGCCGAGTATGTGCGGTAGTGATGGCACTAGCCGAAGCTGGAAGCCCCCGCTGACCTGACTGGGTTCCTGCATGTACCGCTCATAATCCTCGCGCTGGCTCGCCACCTCCGCACAGATATTCCCGTGTCCTCTTCGGGTGGGAGTCTGTGAGACGGCCATCACGGCACCGCTGGTGTCAGGCTGGAAACACACCAGCATCGATCCCGCTTGCGTCGTAGGGCCGTTCCCATGCGTGAAGAGGAATGAGAACCGTGGCTGCAGATCTGTAGGTGTCTGCAAGTCTCTTGAATCTCCCCCATTCCACCCGTTCACCACCGTTGTCCTCACAGCCTGCCCGTCGAGACATAGGTGGACTGTGTGACATTTGCATATCAAGGCGGAGGAGACAGCGAGCTATAGGCGCGCGCTGGCGGCGTAGATGAGCTCCGTTTCTCGACGTGCCTTTGCTACATCCGCGACAGATGTTGTATGAGGTGATAGGTGTTCTTCGCGCCCGCTCTCACCGCACCGAGACTTTTTGATCAACTTGAGAATGCTTTTTAGATCGGAAACGCAGTTTCGGAGCTCGTTACACAGCTTCTGAAGCGGGTTTGGGTGAGGCGGGTGAAGAGGTGGCTTCGAAAGGACACACTCGAGATGGCTAGCTGGGCAGTCGGTCAGTTACAGCCACGCCAATTGCCTTTAAGGTATCCTACCGCGACTTGACCGGGATCCCCCTCCTTCGCTAGCCTCTGAAATGAAAGAACCTGCGACTTCTGGATCTTCTTGAGCGTATGCGAGCAGCTCAAGATAGCGCTCTTCACCGCGTTGATATCACTCCCCAACATACTGTTCAAGCGGGTGTTGAGTTCATCCTCGTGCCAGTGGGGGCTGCTGAGGTCGGCAAGCATGGCGCGGCGCATATCCTCCTGGATGATATCCCGGAGAAACATGTCAAGATTCTGCTTGAGTGTATATTCCTGGACCTCCACCGTACGAAGGATCTGCTTCACATCGTCATCGTAGCATTTGTAATTTGTGACGACGGTGTTGACTTGACGGTAGCCTTGGAGTACTAAGACGGTAAGGGGGAGGACACCAAAGGCGATTTCCATGTTGGGGTTAGTATATGAAAAAGTGGCCTAGGGTGAAGGCGGTAGCGGAGCGAATTACCGAGATTGCAGTTGATGCTGTTCTGGCGAACTATCTCAAGCCTTGAGGTGAATGAATAATCAGCCTTGGTTATAGGTGGGGTTCGAAGAAGCCAATAAGAATTTTACACGCTTTGGAGCGGGAGTTCTTCGTCTTAGACTTAGTCTTAGTCTTAGCCCGGGGTTTGTCCTGACGCACAGTCCATCCCGTTTGTCGTCCTCTGGCCCTAGCCACCTTGTCTGCGCCACCGCGCGCTCACTCAATGGCCAAGGTTCCTACGTAACCAACACCGTTGAAAGCAAATTAAATCGCACCAATAGCACTTGAGCTCTCGATAGGCTTAGATAAGCATTGCCAGTGGACCTCTATGAACCTTTCGATAAGGATGAGGTCGCTACCCAACTCGGTATGTAGGTATGTACTCGCAATGTCCTGACGTTTTTAAAATGGGCCGGGTTCGCATGACAGGTGCATGATAGGTGCAGTATGTAGAGTACGCGGTTTAGACCAATGATATTAGGCGGGTTTGAATCATAACAAACTCCGAGAGTAGTAGTCACTGAGGAGCTTCGCGGGTAGTACTCTCTTCATTCCAGTGAGTATCACGATGCTCAACGTTCGCCGGGGCAAGACAACACCTATGGGAAAAAGAGGGCAGATACTAGCACTTGCCTCTCTGACTGGAGCCCGGAGGATGACCTTATCAGAGATATCTTTAAATACTCAGGTTACTCTTCCAACCTGTAGTAATATTATTAGTGAGGCAAAAAGGAGATCACGGGAGAATGGTACTCAGGGTTTGTGTTCAACCCTCTCTGGTAGGACTTCAACTAAGAAGAAACAGATCTGTGTGCGGACGAGAATATTGCTCCAAAACCAAATTCGCTACCTGGGTGTAATGGTGTCGTATCTGCAGAGGAGAAGAGAGCATTGATTGCTCTTACAGTATCGGATTATACACACTGCCGGATGACATATACTCAACTTGCATTGGAGGCACAGCTTGATATTAGTCGTCAAACTGTCAGGAAGATTTTGGCAGAGGATGGGATCGACAGACGAAAAGCTATGGAGAAACCCTATCTATCTGATCAGCAAAAGGCAAAACGACTCGAATTTTGCCATAGATACCGCGAACAAGATTGGCGTACGGTGGTGTTCACAGATGAGACTTACTTCGAGATGGGTGATTTAAGAATGAGGAGAGCTGGTGGTGTGCTTCATCATGCTCGTGAAGCCTATCTACCTCGTAACCTTAATCGCAGATTTGCAGCTGGCTCTACAGTTATGTTTTGGTCGGCGATTTTATATGATCACAGTGGTAACCAGTTACCATTTCACATTTTCAAAACACCATACGAGACACCAAGAGAGAAGAGAGAGGCGGATGTTCTACTACAGCACGAGTATGAACAGGAATTGGCAGAGGAAGCGTTCCATCTAGCCAATGGCGATCGAATGAACAAAGATCCGGAGCTTAAACTGCGAAAGAAAGATAGGAAAGGTGGCATAGATTGGTTTTTATATCGTGAGAGAATTCTGAACCCTGAACTCTATCCCTTTGTTCTGCAGAAGATGGCTATACGTGATGGTGTGGTAATAATGGAGGATAATGCTCCAGCACATATTCATCATTACCACAATTACCCCCGTGAACAACTAGGTATCAGTAAGTTAATTTGGCCTGCTAATTCTCCGGATTTGAACCCTATTGAGAGAATTTGGATGGAGATCAAGGATAAGATTAAGACCCAAATTGGGGTAGAGTTCACTGCTCCTGCTATCCGCCGTCTTGTTTTGAGTGAATGGAGGAACTATCCAAGGGATAGAATCAACCAACATGTACTGTCAATGCCACGAAGAATAGAAGCCTGTATTGCAGATGGAGGCGGAAATAACTTTAATTTCTAGCTCAATTATGAATAGAATCCTGTATTTCTAGAACACCTTCGTCGTACTCTACATGTAGTATTCGTTACTCGCGTTGTTATGATTCAAGCCCGCAACCTGAATGTCTATCATTGGCCCAAACCGCCTCCTCCTGCACCTACCTGCACCTACCTGCACCCTGCGAACCCGGCCCATTTTAAAAACGTCAGGACATTGCGAGTAGGTACATTCTCAGCTCTGGTGCTTATTAATTGGATCTTGCCTGCGTTTTACCAACCGTCGACACCTCAGGTAATCCAGCTTTAGAAAAAGATTGTCTCAACGCTCCGAACCTCGTTGGAATTATCATCAAACAGACAGAGCCATTGCTTTTAGCATTCAGATCTGTTTCGTCGCAAAGGTTTAAAGGGCAGAGAAGGGCAATCGTTCAACATTACCTCGGGAATTGAGCTGCGTGATAATTAATATTTCTCAGAGCTAGAGTCCTTTGAATCAGCCCGGATGTCTTCCCCGTCCTCAGCGCCCGCCCAGTGCCTCGCGATAGACCTCATCGCTGCATGCACCACTCACTTTTACGGTTTCTATCACCTTCGAAGCAAGCGCAAAAATAAAATATACCGAAAGGAGCTCTGTCACGAGTTTGGGCGGTTCCGCCTATGGGCGCGGGCTTTAGCGGGGCAGAGGCAGCGAGCCATAACCTGCTGGATGAGGTGCTAGAAGAGGCGACATACCTGAAAGAGCCCACGATCATGCTTCTTGCATCTTTTACGAGCTGTCTGCTTGCGGAATGTCTCAGCAAAGGTATGCTTCCACTCTGCCTTCTGGACAGTGCTAATAACAGGTATAGCTGGCGATGACGATACCCGCGCGGAGCTGAGCTCATCCATCAGCCAGGTCACCACGATATACCCGCACTTGCAAGCGTCCTTGAGCCGTAAGTGGAATAGCCGCGAGGCAGCCATTGGAGAGTTGCGAGTGTGCGTCGATGCTCTGTTCGATGTGCTCTCGACTCTTGACGACATTCTGGAGACATTGCTTGAAGAGCGTGTGGTGCCGGGACTCCATCAACTGGAACCGCCTGTTATGGGAGCAGAGCCTGCGCTGAGTCAGTTCATGGCACATGAGACCACACTCAAGGCTAAGCCAGTCGCAGAAGAGGGACTTGAGGTAACATCTGTGCCTATAACCGAGTACCCTGAAGGAGGTAGCTCTTCCGTAGCAGATAGCATGGTCAGTAATGCAGGGTCTCTGGGGGTTGAGGGCACGCAGGACGGGGAAGGTTCCGCAGGCGAGGAAAGAGAAATCCGCTAGAGAAGGTTATCCGTGAGGAGAAACCAGCACACCCAATGGTGATAGAAGGTACGCACCAGGAAATATACCAGCAATACATTAAGGACCAGTTCCCACAAGCGGTTAAAGAGCTGGATATTGAAGGGCTTGCCAAGGGGAGTCTTGAGTGTTATGAGCGGTTGGTTAGACTGGAGGGGGAGCGTGAGGAGGGGGCGTTGCTAGTGCACCACTTGAAGCCTCCACCTTCAGGCAGTGTCCCTACCACCCTCAAAAACTCCGGCATCGGGCCGTCAGCCCCTCTTACTATTCACCCAATTCCCCGCACCGCACTGCTTGCCCCGCCACCTTCCATATCTCGTTTCTCGCAATCAACAGTGTGCTCCAAGTCTTCGGAGCCAAAACACAGAAGCCTGCTTCCAAAGATTCCCGAGCATTCACCATATTCGAGTGGTTTCAAATGCACATTTTGCGGGGTCAACCAGGTCCCAAGCAATAGCATCCGTCTCTGGAGGTAAGATGATCGCTCCTTCTTATACCCCCTCTCTCCGGCGCCCCTTACTAAGACCTCCCATTATCGTCCACAGAAAACATGTCTTCGCTGATCTCGCACCATACATGTGTATCCGGAGCCGCTGCAGCTGCAATGCCATGTTCTACACCTCAAAGAAAGCCTGGGTTGCGCACGATACTGTCTCAATACGTAGCCTAAACGATGATGTTCGAGCAATAGCAACGGGCAAATGTCTCTTCTGCGCCAAGGAGTTCAATGGAGACATCGGACGATTCTATACCCATGTTGCCCACCACATGGAGGATATCCGTTTGTTCGCTCTTTCACCGATACTTCGAAGATATGACGTGGGAACATACGAGAATGGCTCACAGTCGGGGAGCAGCGAAGGACTTGGGAGCCGTGAGGAAGCCAAGAGCAGTGAGGGGGAGACGAGCGCGCTGAGAGAGTATGTCGCTGCGAACCAGGCGGTGGATGCCCAGTTTACCAGGGAATGGGCTATCAAGGCGCTGGGGGAAGGGCATCTTGATCCTTTACCCCAGGGAGCTACCGACCACCGCCAGCCGGGGGAAATAGGCCCCCTACCAGCAGCCGTTACTTCCCCCCCCTTCTTTCGATTCCTTTCCCTATAGCACCATTGCGGCGCACGATGTGGACCGCCGCAGCATGTCCCCGACTACGTCTTCTTTAGCTACGCAGGGTACTCATGGTCAGTTGTGTGTGAAGGATGCTTTGTCATATCTCGATCAGGTCAAATATCAGGAACAGCCGGATGTGTATAACAACTTTCTGGATATCATGAACGATTTCAAGAGTCAGAAGTATGTAACCCCAAACGTCTCTTCATTTTCTTACCTTTCGACTCGGGGAGAAAGGAACACAATGGTAATTGAAAAGTTGGTGATGTTGACAAAGTTGGTCTTCTAGAATCGATACCCTTGAGCTTATGGACCGTGTTTCTACCCTATTTAGTGGCAATCCGAGCCTGATACAGGGTTTTAATCCTTTTTTACCTCCTGGATACCGGATCGAGTGCTCCCAAGACCCAAGGGACACTAAAATAACTATTACCACCCCATATGGAACAGGCTTCGCAATGGGTCCACCTGGGTCGAAAATGTCCCAGGAACTGGCCCAACCCGCTGAAGGAGAGTGAGGACCCAACCCAGGACCATTTGCCCGGTCTTGACACGGGTCGGTTATACAGGACCCAAGCATGCAAAATACTATCCTATAGAAGAAAATGTATAGAAATTGTTGAGGAAATGGCGGTTCAGACTCCTAGAATATCAATCAAACACAAAATCCCAATCATATGTGATGCAAAAACGACCTTTGCACCAGGTGGAAATACCTGGGTGAAATATTTCAACGTACCCGGCCCAAGCAATTGTTAAATTTGAAGGACCCGAGCCAGTGGACTTGTATCACAACCCGGGTCGCCCCAAGTGAGGGAGGACCCATTGCGAACCCTGATCTGGAATCATCTGTTGCTCTAGTCGATTTCGGAAGATGGTCATTTCCGGAATATTCCCATTCGGCGGGGTGCCATACCGGAAGATTCAGCTATGGCTGAGAGAAATTCGCGCTTTCAGAAGTTCCAAAATGGCCAGGCTGTATGTGAACTTCCAACATTGCGTGTAAATGTGTTCCCAAAAAATTGTGATATTGGAAACAAAGGTACGCTGGTGGGTAGGTGTCCTACTTAGGTGGACGGATACCTGGCGATCAGACCCCGCAATGGGTATACCCAGGTAGAAAAAGGGCTTCAACCCGGCCCATCCAACCTGTGAGATCTGAGTATCCAACCCAACCCGACCCGTTGAATATTACCCGGGTAAAAGGTATCTTTTGATGGGTAGAGCTTTTGGTATTGAGCATGAAATAATAGTATAATTAAAGTACATACTCTGAAAACATTTATGTCAAATCGGTATGTTCCCAAGAATCATTTCTCATTTATAAGAACTAGTTTTGGTTTCTCTACCCAAGATGTAACTGAATTATCCGGGTAAAAATGGACCTTATACCCAACCCACACAGCAATAAAAATACTCTATCAAACCCAACCCACCCATTCTTTACCCGGGTATACCCAAGTTACCCCCTCTCTATTGAAGAGTGTGCTACCTATTTGGGGGGTGGATACCTGTCCAGTTCCCCGTGAGCGGGTACCTGGCCATTTGGGTGAGCAGTGACATGTTCAGTTGTGTGAGCGGATATATGTCCAGTGGGGTGAGTGGGTATCTGGCCACTGAGGAGAGCATATACCTGGCCAAAGGAGTATCGGATACCTGACTAGTTGTGTGTGAGCGGGTACCTAGCGATTTGGTTGATTAGTGACTTGTTTGGTTGAGTAAATGGGTACATGTCCAGTACGGCATGTGGTTAACTGGCGAGTGAGGGGAGTGTATACCTGCGCACTGACCTGATGGGTACATGGAGTATTGAAGATTAAGAGTTTTTCATACAGGCTATAAGCATGTTCTGTAAGCAGTGTGTAGTGGCGCGTAAATGTTAAATCTGTAATGATAGCTATCGTACAAGTCTATCTTGTACGTTCAAAATAAGCTGCCCATACATTTGCATTTACATAAAATGAGAGCTTGCCCTCTCAAGTCAGAATTCGAAATCTGGAAGCAGTTTACCAGATTTCGACACGAGAGAGGGGGGAGAGATGAAGAGGGAGAAGAAGAAAATAGGGAAGAGAGACTGAGATGAGAAGGACTGAGAGACGGTTCACAAGAGAGTAACAAATGAGAAGTAGGGTTATGGATATTGTTAGTAAATTATGAGTTACGAGTGTTCATTTATTTTATTTTGTTTTATTTTATGTAGTTTTATTGTTTGTGTTTCTTTGTGTTAGCGAGATGCAGAGGAGGCAAGCAAGTTAGTTTTGGGGCAGTGCGATATAGTAATAGTTTAAGCCCTGCATACAATTAATCAATTAATCAAGAAAAAAAAAATTTCGCCCTCTCAAGGGGGCGTAAGGTGCAATATTCCACAGGGTACAACCTATGATATTTGGCAATGACCTGATGTAACGGAGCCATTTCAACTGTCTGGTATATGAGTACACACAGGGTATGGTTACATGCTGAAAGTTATTGTTAGAAGCCAGTGGCATGGCGATATGCAAGTACCGGCAGGGGTTACCTACCAGCTGTTAGAGTAACTACATTCCGGGTGCTAGGAAGGGGATCTATTCATGGGAGCAATGACTGACGAGTCTATACCTCACCAGTGATTAGAAGGCCGGCCAGAGTGAAGCTCTGATTGCCCAATGATCCTCTGCATCCTCTAAGCATTCTAAGTCCGCGGAAGGGCAGGGACTATTCCAGGAAAGTCTACAATAATCGAAGGCTCTACAGCAATGATTAAGCTTACACCTGAGTGGCAGCTCATTCATGCAGGCCCTGGTTGTGTGGCAATGAAGGCTGCAGGTGTTACAAAGGATTTGACTAAGGGTGGTTGCCTTGGATATGGGAAACACCTGCGGATGCTTAGAGAAAAGCGGGGTAGCAGTAGTATTGTTTCCAGACCGAGGAAAAGGCTTCACCGGAACTTAGTCAGGAGTTAGGAGCAGAGAATAGAGGCCTTCGGAGTATAAGTACTCAGGTTCATTCTCGACCTTCAGTCCGGTTCTCCCGAGTCTTCACCAAGAAGAAAAATCAAGTTCTTATCGGTAGCAGAGCCTTTAAAGATTATTGACTTCTAGTGATAGTATCTTTGAATAATCTGCAACCTGATTGTCTATCAGGCATAGCCGTCTCTATGCTATCCGATTCTATTTCTCTTAGAAAGGACCTCCATTACACCTGACTGTATTTGTACAAACGACTATACAGTGAGTGGGTACGAGACCCTAATACAGTGAAGGAAATTCAATCATAACTAATCTCCGATGACTCAAACAATAAAAACCTGTAGAATACAAATGAAACCTGATTACCAATCCCACTTATTTCATGCCATCCCTATCGAACTTCATCCCAGTCGCATAACGGTTTAGCCTAGTATGACATATCAGACTAAGTTATTTGATTCTGTTAAATGCTCTCCCTTCTCGCAGCTTTCATCATACTAAAATTTCCTTATATTTCTTTAAGATACCGGTTTGGTAATTTCAACTCCTTAGTCAGTATTCTTTCTCAAGTATTCCGATGGATTTGAATCTTTTATCTTTCACTCAATAGGCTCTACTGATTTGGTTAGAGAATTGCAAGCAGGTTGGACTTGATCATTCGCGCTGTCTGCTTCTTCTTAATAAGTACTTCTTGGTATTAGATCTTCTCAACAAGACCCGTAAACCTACTTATAAGGTTAAATATCGCCTGTACTATACAAGCAAAAGACAATACAGTCTGTAGACTTGAATAAGATAATACCGGACAGGTACAGGGAAGAAGAAAATGATTGTAATTGACAATAAAGAATCTGATATAATCACAAACACCCATATTGATCTCGGTTATGCTGGTAGTGACAAGACATATATCAAGCTAGATAGTTTGTATCAGGGAATTACAATAGATAATGTTTCTTGAATTCTCCATCATTGTTCTACTTGCATGAGGATGAAAATCCAGAAGAGATAGGCATCAATGTGTGTACTTATTAAGGATTCCCTACGGTTTAAAGTTCAGGTACGTGATCCGGGTTCATTGCGATCAAGATTGAGCTAAATAAGATTGAGCTAAATGAGATAGCTAATTGGTCAACACTACCATATACGCAATACTAAGGACCACTATAGGAAATACTCTGCTGTATATCACTTATGTGATAAAATAGATGAATCAGTAGTAGAATTTGTTTTGATTTGAATGACGCATATGGGTCTATCAAACTTTTTAAATTCCGATGATTGTACCGAGTTTAAAGGAGCTTTGTTAACTCTACTCAGATAGTACGGAGTTAAAGTATGATAATTGCATTCGGATACAAAAACTTCTATCGATATATGCTAGTAACTGAATAGATTATCAACGGTCAATTTCACCATTCACAAAGTTAGTTTCAAATTGAATAAGTTAATAGTATTTTGAAGACTAAGATAGTATCGTGGTAGAAGGATAATCAACTATTCAATCGGGTAAAATTTCCGCCCGAAATTATAATGGCGATTATCAATCGAGTCTATTCCATGATAAAGAAATCTTCTACTAGATCTTAAATGGTCAAAGAATAGTTAGAGTACGAATAGCAATATGGGAATTTGAAAATCTAGTAATTCAAAACACAGCAGGAATCATGTCTGAAATCCTTTATTATATACCATGGGGCGTGCGACTTACTCAAATAAAAATACTGAATGTTCTTTACCATACGTACGAGTTATCCCAATTATTTTCATTCATCCTGTTGCCTATATAGTTTAGGAACATAATCATAAATGACAACATTCCAAACAAAGCAATCCCTGTCAGGAACTCTATATGTATTTAAAAAGGATATCAAGCTGAGCCTGAAACAGTAATATTACTCCCGAATTCAGAACGAAACCTGACTCCATTCCCAGGTAAAGTGATAAATCAATAAATTATCAAAGCTGCGACTGAAAGTTGGAGGGAGATAATAGAATTATATATAAGAAAGTATTGTGTATCATCATATGGTACTGGAGATGTTGTATAATTAGAGATATCTTTCCCCAATCGGAACTCATCGGATAATAATGTAACGGGAGTCCTTTCTAAGAGAAATAGAATCGGATAGAATAGAGACGGCCGTGCAAGATAGACAATCAGGTTGCAGATTATTCAAAGATACTATCGCTAGAACTCAATAATCTTTAAGGGCTCTGCTACCGATAAGAACTTGGTTTTTCTTTCTGATGAAGACTGGAGAGAACAGGACTGAAGGGCGAGAATGAACCTGAGTACTTATACTCCGAAGGCCTCTATTCTCTGCTCCTAACTCCTTACTAAGTTCCGGTGAAGCCTTTTCCTCGGTCTGGAAACAATACTACTGCTACCCCGCTTTTCTCTAAGCATCCGCAGGTGTTTCCGATACCCAAGGCAACCACCCTTAGTCAAAGCCTTTGTAACACCTGTAGCCTTAGTTGCCACACAACCGAGGACCTGCATGAATGAGCTGCCGCTCAGGTGTAAGCTTAATCATTGCTGTAGAGCTTTCACTTATTGTAGACTTCCC